CCCTAAGGCTAGAAACTTGGGGGGGGGGGGGGGCGTAAAACTGTGCTACGACTTGAGAAGTAAGCCGAAACATTCATCTGGATGGCTTGTTTTAACTCAGCAACACTAGATTATCGGAAGGATTCGGCGTTCCTCGGGTCTGTCTTTTCAGCCCCTCTAACTAACTAACTAAACAGTCCCTGTTGTCTGTGTGCAAAATTTGTCAGCCTACACATCTCCGATTGCCGGAAAGGTTCCCAAACTTGTCCTACGAAAGAGGCTTCGGCAATCCAATTTCAGTATTGTGCGTAGCTGAGTTGATACAGAGGGTTTGGTGCGCGCGCACAAACACGCATATATTTCAAAAGGGAGATTTTGTTGGATCCCTCAGAAGCGCTGCTTTTTAAGCTTTCAGGAACTTTCTCTGTATGGAAGTGATTATTTTGAATATTTTCACATGATACAATGAAGTCTCTGACCACCTAAAAACTCTGACATGTCGTTAAGCGATCATGCAAGACGTAACTGGCATAAATAAGGCCTACTGAAGCGATCAGGAAACCATGTTGTGAACCGACGACAAAATAGTTAGGTAAAAGCCTTCACGATTGAAACTGATTTCTGATGATAGTTGAAGGGCTTACCTTCTTCAAAATGATCACGATAATTGCTAAGACAACCGCACCTCCGAACACGGCCAGAGCAATGTAAAGTGCTGTATACTTGGGTACGATTGGTTTTGGTTCAAGGTTGTTGAATATTGATAGTTCGATCTGAAAGGATAAACGGGTACCTTTGTGAATTATACGCATAGCTCATAAATCAGTATAACAGTAGCTACAATACCGGGCAGAGTAAAGAGGTATCGGGTGAAATGGCAGTGATTGGATCGAGTATAATGGCGGCAAAATCATAAAGCTTTGCATAGGTACCACTGAACAAAAGGGTTTCAGAGGAAAACGAGTGATTATAGAGCACCGAACAAACAAAATACACATTCATGCAGGATTGTCCGTTCACGGCAACATACACAACACAATCATCGAAAGCCAACTAGATCCCAGTCATTCACCAAAGAGATTGTCCGTTCACGGCAACATACACAACACAATCATCGAAAGCCAACTAGATCCCAGTCATCATCATCACCAAAGACAGCAACATCAGTGTTGGCATTGATGCTTCACTGCCGTACAACCATAACCAGGCCCCAGCACAATAGAATAATCTAAACGACCACATATTTCCATGAAAGTGGAAGAGTAAAATAGCATGAAGTAATCGATCAGACGATCTGAGGACATCGGCAGGGAATGCGGAAATATCTTTGCAATGTCTGACGAAAAAATATCATAGTCGAAGTCACCGGACTACAAAGAAATGCAGCCCATTTACCATTCAAAAAGCATCATCTTAACTCACCAAAAGATCAACCCCCTATATTATTCTTAGTGTGGTTATGTACGTGCAGACTTGAAACTAGAAAACAGATCGATGGAAGTTTGCAGAAAGGTATTTGATACGGTTGCTCCACAATACTTTGAATGTGATCTTGCAGAGTCGAAGAACAGTAATTTGCACATCAATTTAGTTTTGCCGGAATGCTCACCTGAAACCCAGTTGAATCTTTCGTTTGTGACGTTCTGTCCAATTAGGCTTTAAGTAGAACAGAAGGTTGACAGATACTCGGGGACTGTTCCTACTCGATGAGCACCAAGGAGGGCGAAACCGGTCGTGGGCTGTTGGAGTGCAGCAGGGCGAAACCGGTCGTGGGCTGTTGGAGTGCTTTCAGCGACCTTATGAGTAGTGTACTGAGTCTATTCGAAGTACAGTAGTTTTCTCAAGAACTTCCCAACCGAGGACACTTTGGTGCAGTGCATTGAGATTTAGCCTGATTTTGATAACCCAATCCTTAACGAAGACTGCCGATGAGTCCTTTCACAATAAAGGTAGGGATGCGAAACTCTTGCATTGAACTTTAATATATTCCAACACTATATGTCTAACTAACCACATTAAGGTAAGATTATTCACGAGATCACTGAAAGACTCAAAACTCGGCCTTCACCTGCGTGATACTACTGATTCCATTCCCTTTTAGGCACACAAGAGTTAATAACCAACCGGAATGGGATTCCTGTGAACAGGCTAAGAACTGTAGTAAAGGCTTCAATGGATCACCAGAATTTGTCACACCTGAACGAATTGTGTGAGTGAGGATATGTCCGGCAGAGAAGAACCTGATTCAATGCTTGATCTTGGGAGCACATTAACAAAGCTGCATTCGGAAAATATCGTCGGTAGTCATATCATTTTCGGATGATATCATCCCTCGAAAGGGTTTGTTTCCTCAGAGTGGAAAAACTCACTTCGATACGTTTTCTCATCAACATAGACAACAATACGCATGGGTGGTTTGTCTGTTGGCTAATCCAGCCTCCGTATGGTAATGTTTTGAAATTCACGTTCGTCGGAAGGTTGGTTCAGTCATGAGTATGCCGACAACCTGGAGGCACCTAAGTAAGTGGGGTTGATTTACCTGTAGCTAAAGTAGAATATCACCGCTATAGATTATGAAAGCTGGCATAATATGGACCAATAATTTGAGCATCAGTTACAAGTGCTGACCCGTGTTCCAGATTTCATCCCGGGGTGCCAAACAGCTGTAATTGGGTAAGATCAATAGATTCATGGACAACTTCAATAATATAATTTACTACACAGACAGAGTCATTTCACGGTATAAATATAACTCCTGATAATTCTCTGTTAAAGATCGCTATCCTTCGTGACCAACGAGCTACGCAACTGAGCGTTAACCTTGAAGATGAAATCACTGGACAGTTTTTTAACTTTTCTGAGTACCAGTCGTTCATCGTGATGAGCAGCACCGAAAAAGTTGTGGCAAAGCCCTTAAAAGAAGGATTCGGGCAGTGGATTATCAGAATCCTAAATATTTGAGTCCTGATCCGTGGAGTTTGTAGCGGTTGCCCAATCTGATTAGAGCATCCACATCCACTGTCTCCCTCGTGCTTTGTTTTGTTCCACATCCCACAACGTGCATCACGAGGCAAGACGTGACTTGTCTGGACTGATGACAGCGCCTATATGATCCCTCTCTAAAGGGGGGAGTATTTGTAACGCTTGCCCTTCTACTTAATTATTCCTCTAGTCAATTTCACACCGGCACCCAATACCCCCATTCCATTTTGTCTGTCTCACAATCACGCGTCAAAATCGTGACATGAATGCGACAATATGTCAACCCTCATTCCATTATCTTTTGAACGACGCCAGGCGATTTCACATTGTTTTGATATCCCACTTATTGCAACGACCTATATATAAGGACAGAACGCAATCAAGCACACACATACATGCATCACTCGCGCGTCGCACACAGGCCGGTTCAACCAACAAAAACTGCGGACAACCAGGATCGTATGGCAGGGAATCTGCCGAATGAAAGACGACTACCTGCACCCAAACGAACTCGGTGGAACTATTACAACTTACACTCAGAACGATAAGTCCTTCTTTTGAACCCTTCTATTTTTAGTATTGTATTGGACTTGATTAAGGTGCATCTAGTTGTTGTAACCTCACGCTCTCAAAACAGGTTTCATTAGTGTCTCTTTCTCGCCTTCTGATTTACCAAGTGGCTTAAGTTGCTAACACAAGAGAACACTAATAAGTTCACGAAACTACATGGAAATTTCTTTGTCGGCTTGATGCTCTTGATTCCCTCAATTTTTAAAGAGATTCGATATCCATTTCTGAGTGGTGTTTCTTTTGATGTGGAATAAATCGTCTGGTCCAATTAAAGGGAGATTGCTGTTCTAATCCTGCAAAGGGTAACGATTCCGTCACTTCTGATGAGAGTTTTCCCCTGGTCTGTGAAGACGCCGGTAAGGATCATCCAAGAAATTTTTTCAACTCAGGAGATTTGTCAGTTAAATTAAAAACCAGCTACAAACTTTAGATAGGAAGCCATTCAACAGTGAACTCTGATAACAGTTTCAGTCAGTAATTTCATTCAAGTGTAGAAGCTTTAAGTTTACTACGACGGAGATTTTCGATGATAACAAAGGTCATCTTGACAAAGACTTGGACTCTAATTGTATGGCTGAGAAAGTGGGTTGAACGATTGCCCCAAAGGACTTCCGTGTTTATTGGGAACTGAGTTTGGCGCGGTAAAACTCGCTTGTGCGGTCAATAAAAGTGGTCCCATACTTCGGGTTCCTCCCACCAGAGTAAGATCAACTCTGGTGTTCATTTCAGTGGTCTTTGGTCGGACAAAGATATTTTATCACACTTACCGTAGACAAAGTTTAAATACACACAGAACTCGGGAATCAACTGAAACACTGGAGTAACATGGAGGGGAACGTGCAACCGTGATTAACAGGTTTGGTTACTAACAGCAACCTTCATGCGAAAGCATAATCAACTATAACAGTTTTGAATGTTTCAGCGGACATATAGAGCATTTATAAGTTTGTATGCCTGAGGTGAAATCTCCCACCATTGAATTTTCACCCAGGGAAAAATTAGACTGCTCGCTGTCTCCACAACTTTTCGAATTATCGCCAGCACATCAATGGATTTCACGGAGTGGATAAGGGAAAAACTGTACCAATCAATTGAACTTGTAGATGACACTGCTGCCACCGAGGATTACTAAAACGCTAAACATAATCTGCCAGCATATTTCGTCGACCGTGCCTCGACTGTCAAGGCCTCCTATGCGTAAATCCCCGTCCGAGCTATTTTTGTAAACGACTGACACTGTAATGTGTATATCATCTGCACATTATCTGGTTGAAATATCCTTCCGTAAAAAGCTTGGGTTTTTTCGCTTTGAAGCGTTTAATCTAGCACAAGAAAGAACTAAGTCTGGAGATCAAGGTGTAGGTCTGCCTGTATGCCATATGACATATTTTGATTTATGCATGCGAAATCCGGTTGGTAGTATTTGCTGATATCCGATCGATTGAACGGTTCGAAATTTATGCTTGAGCAGTGCATTTTCTCTGCTTGTCCATGAACGAGGATGTCGCCAAATATGTTATGACGTAACTCTAACTAACTTGCTAGACCACAACAATCGACCGGAGGGGTTCGGGCACGCCTTTGACCATCTACCCACTGACATTATCAAAGTCGGTTCAAGGTTGATCTTGTCTTTTCCGGTTGGCTAAAGCAGTCTTGTCCACTAATAAAGGAGTTTGGTCTGTTTACATCCTGCGCCACTAGTCCCCACACACGAGGAGCCGTGACAGGAAATCCTTAACAAGTCGACCTGTTCTCACACCGACCTTCTAGACAAATTGCGTTTCCAGATAGAGTCCGTTCGCCGAATCTTAAATCTCCTGAAATCTAAACTGAAGGTTAGTTGCGTGGCGCAGAAGTAAAGTGAGGCATACTCGTTTTGTGGCTCACACCATACGCTAAGTACTCCAAGCTTAAGTGTGGAAGAGATTTTCAGCCAGCATGTATGTCGATGTTAGTTTGGACAGTTGGGGCCGCAGTTATTTGAACTCCCGCCTTCATTCATGGAAGTTGCTCACAACTGCACGGACGAAACTGACCTGTGCCTAAATGAGCATGCTACCCCAAAGTAACCAGACCAATTGATTCTAGTCAGTAATTACTGTCAGATATGAATGCCCACTTTAAATGTATTCTTTGTAAGCAAAGAATGCGTTGATATTCCGCAGTCGCTTTCGGACACCACATTTTCCTCGGGATGGCATGTGTGCTGAAGAATCGATTCGATCCTGAGAGTCGAGTCAAAATAAGTGCTGTTATCTTATGGTACTTAAAATATCGTGAGTAGTGCGATCAACCAGGGAAAAAGGGCCAATAATGGGGTGGGTGGAATGAAGGGCGTGTACCACCCGCGTAATTTTCAAACTATTTCTTGTACTCGTTTGGTCTGATCTGAGAAGACTTGCACCTAAGAGATACGAAAATACAGTACATGCCAATCACCCTGGTGTGTCCAAGGAAACCCGGATCAAGTGCTGATTTATGCACCCAGGAATTCAAATACTACGGAACACTCGGGTTAGAAATGCAAAACCACAGAAAACATGCGTTGCATGCAGCGAACACAATAGGTTGATTGGGTTATGCAGCAATCAGGGTAAACCAAAACCATATGAGTGACAAGCAAATATTCAGTTAGGCATGCCGAGAATGGGGAAGAACGGAAGGGGAGGATGAAGTGTATAGTTATGTAGACATTCCGGAAGAGCAATATCGGCGAACCAGCAGTATAGGACATGATCTGTATTACATTACATAGCATTGTGGAAGCATGTTATTCAACATAACAGAGCTGATCTTGCATGTTTGTTTAGAAACCCTTACTCGATACTTATCATTAGTTTCACTATAACCCAACTACTACCGGCACCGATTACTTTTACCGGCACTTGTTAATAATTTAAACAGTTGTTTCTGGTAGCAGAAAATGTCGTTTAATTTATCGAAGAGACTCTTTTACCTTATAGAAGCTCTTCATAAAGTCCATGGATGACAACCACCACAGTCTAGTTTGGTTAACTTTTCCATCTAAAAACTGCGTAACTAAACACAGTTGTTCCAGATGCTACAGCCCCATTCACCGAAGATAAGGAGAATAAGGAAATAAGAGAGACAAACTGGATATAATGACTCAATCAGTTTAAGGACTGCGTGTGATTCTGTTTTCAGTAAAACAGAGGTTGATAGCTACGCAGTGAAGGCAGCAGCTTTGATGCAACAGCGTCACTGGCTGCATGAAACAACCGTATGTGCCACAGTCAATAATCATTGATCCGTATTCCCCAGCAGTCTCCACCCAGGAAGATTGCAGGTATCAAAGCGACTGATTTGACTGGTAAGCGCTATCATCTTTCGTTGCCAAGATGTCTCCATCAGAGGCAATCTTGTGTTAACAGGGTTCTACAAAGCAATCAGACTTCTGGCGTACGAAGTAATTCGCCCAGCCAGCATTACCTGACCAGCTGACCTCTCAAAAGAGGGTGATCTTTCTAGAAAACCTCTGTTTTATTGACTGGATGTACTTGTCAGATCCGTACTATGCTTCACGGTCACCGACAGTTCAAGAGCAGAGAGTTTCCAAAGATATGCACGCAGTGGCCATGAATCTGCTTTAGAAATGTCGGAATGTAGCATTGTACACCAAACGTTGGTCACACAAGATAATGTCACGTGGTTGCTGCAAATGTCAGAGGTTAGGAAACGTTCCCCTAGCCCACAGGGACTCGTCAGACTTCCCGGGTGGATGAACTTATCTTGCGTATCGATCGGTTCATCTAAATGCCAGAAGTTTGGGTTTGATCCCACTCAATATCGCAGCAGCAATTTACATTTAGCAGACCAAAATAGGCAACAGAATTACAGATGTTATTTAAAATAATTTGCATTTTGTAGGGCACCGTTAACCGTTAGTACTAGGTCGTTGGACTACTGACGTGGTGGAACAAGACATCAGAGCACATTTTTGCTATTGACTGGTGGAAATCTTCACCTCTCGTTTGTCACTTGGTCCTAACAAATCGTCTTTTTACAAGTGGCAGAAGAACATTAGCAAACATTCACTGATATCGTACTATCAGATCATCCTGTTTAGGGCTAAGCGAGGTTGCGTCATCCCTGACTTTCAATCAATAATTTTCCTTCCTTCAACTCATTAGCATTCTAAATTGATGTGGATCGGGAATTAGGACAACTTTTGAATAAATCTGATTCAGGTTCTTTATCCAAATGTACAGCGCAAAACGTACTTCGGAGTCCAACCTCTTCCATCTGTACTAATCGGATATATTGTATGTGGTTGCACCTGTACCCTGTGGTGGTTTTGGGGCTTCAGCTTGAGTTAAATAATGACAAAAGCACCGTGGACAAGTTTCGATATAGTTCTTCATCAATATCACATTATTTTGGTTGTGATACTTTGAAGGTGTTTTCGCGATACTCTTGTGTAGGCCGTGGGATCCTGAGAAGCAGTGCTTGAAATTCCTCTTGGGGTTGCTGTGGCATCTATATTTTCACATCAGTTCCTAAAAGTCTCAATGATTGTTGGAAGCTGCGCAACTGGGTTTGTAATAATGCAACTAAAAACACGCCTCACTGATTTCGCTTGAGGAGGAACATTACAGAACCCACCAAAACCACTCACGGTTATGGAGAAATGTTTCCATAGGGGGCCTAAAACGGCTCTGAGCAAAGCGTGTTGTTGATTAGAAAAAAAATCGGGACATGGTGTAGTGAAGGCATGCTATTTCTGGTTTTTTGACCACGAGTAAGACCCACATATTCTCACCAATATGTTTTTTTGATTATCAATTCATTTCTGGACCTTACTGAACATTTGAATCGACTTGCAAAAGGTAACCGAGTGTGAAAGTTCGCACTTATCTTTTGCTACTTGTTACTACAACAACGTTAATCCAGTTCGCTTGATAAACTCGGTTTCCGTTGATTGTATCTTCTGCTTCCTTATTCCCGTGCTTACCCCATCGCCATGATGATCAGCCTACTACTCAGAAGTTTTCACGTCTCTTTAGGTATCGGAACAATGAATGCTATGGTGTAGTCCGGTAATTTCAGATGACATCTACAATGTGCTCTATCTGCACGAATCGGTTTTCCATCGGGCGTTCTCTCGTGTCGGGCATTCTTTTTAAGTTGGCTTCTTCCTGATGTATATTCGCTGGGCTTTTCTTGTCTGGATTCTTAATTCTTTCTTAGCCAATTGAGGGCACGCCAAAACTTTCGAGATGACTAAATATTAGAGCGATTGCATCACTGCACATACTGCATGAAAGTGAGAACCATGGAATATGCCTCCACTGCACTGAGCACTGCGCATGCAAGTGAACTTTCAAAGCATTTTGCATCATGCATCGGGAAATATACGAAATCAAGTGCAAACGTGTGAAGCTTATGCAAGTTCTGCCGAAGACAACGCCATAGGAATGCTGGTGCGTTTCTCGGAAGTCTTCATATCAACCGACGCAAAGCGGATGTAGTTTGAAAAGAGAACTATTCTACCGAGCTGGGAAAAACTGTCACTGGACAGAGCGACTCACTCAGCTACACTAGCATACTTTCTCACTGCACTAAAAAAGTACGTTTCCCTAGGGCTGCTGTAGAAAGCCTGTCATACTGTTCAGTACCAGACACAAGCTTACAAGAAGTTCAGGTGGCAGTGTCCCTATTCACTCGGAAGTTCACACCAAAAGCCAATCCACTCCGCGTAGCCCATCCTCCTGCCGCTTGCGTTGGAATCGGCGTCACACGTAATGACAGAACAGACCGGTGACCTTCCCAAAGCAGTATCTGATGCAGGTAAACAAATACCCATTTGCATTTATCACTCAGTCATTCAGTATCCAGTCTTGTCCACTACGAGACGTCTGTTGATCTGTTGCGCCCAGTTTGTCGTCCGTTATATTGGTGTTAAACCAGGAAAATCGGATGCCAACACTCACGGAAGGCAAACAATGTCTTGTGCACAGAAAGTCGTGAGTCGCAACATCTGACTAATTTGGGTTGGACTTAGTCCTCGTTGTATCCAGTACGTTAGTTTCTAATTCACTATACATCTGTATACGTTCACCTAGGTTGAAAACCAGCAGGCTGGTAATGCCACCTGCTGACCAAAGCAAAAATATATACAAAACTCTATTGGACATGGGCGAGACTGAGGTTTAGTTTTCGTTTTCCCGAATTTCTTGTTTCACACAGTAAACAAGTTAGAATTTAGCCATATCTTGAATACACATTCCCCTGGATTATGAGGTCATCTGTGCGGAGGATGATGTCTTCTTTTTCTAAAAGTGAATTCCAAGAAAGAAGGTGGTGACCTATGTAAGTCCCCGATTAAGATAGATGTAAACTGAAACACCACAGCCACTTCAGTTATGAGAACAAGTAATACCATGCACAGGGTCGGACAGAATATTAAAATGGGATTCCTAAGCCATAATGTGCAACGAATGACCCAGGGACTACGTCTACCTCAACGGTACTATTCTATGCTGGGATCTTTAATTGCATTTAAAAAAAACCAGCCGCAGTTGCTGGAATGTACTCACTGTTTCTTGAGTGTGGTCTGCGTCTCCAAGATCAATGCCATATTTCACATCTGCTCTCCAAGTTGCTGACAGTCGGAGCTTTGTCAAAAAGAAATCCTTGAAGTCCTGCAGGAATTAGTGAAGAGAAGAAACATTCAGAGAGACGATTCAATGAAGGGGAACTGAAAACTTTTATCTAGCCTGAAGTTTAAATGCAGGGATCATAGCTATGGGGGCTAGGCCGATGGGAACTGTGTTTCAGTGAACCAAGAAAGTGGACGTATTGCCTGTCTAATTTCGCTGTAAAAGTCATTTATTCTTAATTAATGTAAAACGGTGGGACACTCTGGTCGACTGAATGTTTCTGGTGAAAAAAGAAGCCCGGGAGTTGAACTGGTGTTTTCCGGTCAGCGCAGTTAGCGAGCATTACTTCCATGCAAAATCCAGTTTGGGATGAGACAAACGTGGCCTACCTTTCAAGGGACTGATTCCAAATCTACAGATTATGCACGGAGGAATCAAGTTTCAAACATTCAAAATGCAAGCTCAGCGAGATTAGATCATCCAGGCCAGCAACTTTTGTCAAGCAAAGTGAATAAATACTTCGAGGGGAGAGTATCTTAAAGAGAAGCAACCCATCAGAAAAGTCAGTAAAGTGGACTCCTTGTGAGAATACAAAAATAACTACTAAGACTGTAAAGATCAGCTGCTGTTGGATGTCTGCGAGGTCACATTTCACATCTAAAGAAAGTCTCCAACATCACCATACACGAAATACCTTTAAATCTATCAGTAGTGTAGGATGCTTGCCACATTGCAGCTGGTCTTAACCATGCTTAAACAAATATTCTCATCTTTTTGTAAGCTTCTTGGACTAAACCCTGAAGAGAAATTCATGAGACAAGTTTGTACTAGTGGGACGCTATGTTTGTACATGTTTGTCCCCAATGTGCTTGCTTGAAGACACTGCAAGTTATGGCTGCTAATCGTTGCCAGTGGCAATCTTGTTATCAGTTTATATCCAGGTTGCATGAATGGGTGTCTGGAGTTGTAGTCCCCTCAAAATGATTGTTGTAGGCTAGCACCGTGTTCCATCCACGTAAAGTTTCATTACTTTCTTCACAATAAGTCTTTCAAATAAACTATGGCTGTATTGCGACGGGACACTGAGGCTGAACAATGATGAGGTCAGAGTTCACAATACTGCACAACAGAACGCGCGCGAACAAAAACTAGTAATGAGCTCTCTATAGGATAGATTTCGAAGTTAGTCCACAATGAATGCCCCAGTGCACAGGAAAAAGACGACACTAGAGTGGCCTGAATTACTTCTGGAACCACTGACATCACTTGACTTGTGCTATATGATGAGGACTGTGGTTTCAATGTGTACACAGCTAGCAAGCGGAAAAAACAGCAATGCCCTTCAAGATAAGACTCGGAAAATGTCAGTTCATTTCTGCAAAGTTGGCAAAGGAGGATACTGGGGTGAAGTTTACCCGAAGACGGAGTATTGAGGATGAGATGATATGTTAGCTGCCTTGGATATCTGCTAAGACCTAACAAAATAGTGATTTGAGATTTTCTAAGCACATCCTCCATATAATATTGCATTAGTAAGCAAAACACAGTCCACGTGCAAAATAGCCTATCGCGATTTATCTGTGAATCATAGCTCTTGAGAAAATGCCAGCGGAACTGAGCAGTGCATTCCCTTGATATCACTATAAGTCCTGTTTTGTTGGACTGGTTAGAAAACCTGTTTGTCCAGAGCATGTCTAATAATCTGTGGAGATTGGGCTGTAGCATACTTGAAATTCATTCAGTCGGAAACCACTGATCGGCTTTGGGTTCTGTTGAAAGATGACTAAAAATGTGTATTAAAATGAATGACGCTCATGTGGTTATCCCTTTAATACACTGGCTTATCTGAAAACGTAGCCTACCAAGAAGTAAGCACATGGGGTGCTAGGCCACAGTACAACTCATTAAACAGATAGCGGCTGTTGCACGTAAACTCCTCTGTCAAGGAGAAGTATATCTCTTTCATGATAATATTTTGAATTTCGTGTCCTTATCGTTGAATCAACAAAACAATTTCAGTGTCATTACGGAATAGGAGAAAATGTCACCGATGTTGCGTAACGTTCTAATGTATTTATACCCTCTTAGGCTGGATAACGTCTTCTAATGGGGCATTGAAACCCATCCCCCGGAGAATAGTAGGGGTCTCAAGTGAAATGATGTAATCCCAAAGCCTGGCACCTTCTCGGGAGGTCGGTTTTTGTAAGCGTCACTTCATAGCAAACATGGGTCTGATGGCATTGTGCATGAAAAGCTATGGAGGTTATGAGTTGAAATCCTGGTAGGATTTTATACTAAAGACCAGGCATTCAAATGCGCCAGCCGACCTTCTAAAATTCACCATAATGGCGAAATAACCCCAGTAAAATTAATAACGATTATAGTTTAACCTGTTTATGAACTTGGTCATTTTCTGACGATGATCACCGCTATGATCACCGCCTGATATCAAGAAACCAACAGACACCTGTTAAGTTGTGGGAAACAGCGTTGGCTGTCTACTGCTTCACTCATTCTCGATGGGCGCAGCTAGCCAATACTCATACGGGGTGTGATAAATGCTTGTTATGGCGCAAATCAGTCACCGATTAGCTGATCACAATTAGTCACAAAACCTGGAGAGGAATGCAGTGTTCCATATTTCCCAGCGAACTTGGACAACGTGCCTCAAGCGACTAATATTTTGCCAATTTTGCTTTATAATTACACGGAACCCGTCGCACAACTGTTCGAACCCAAATGCCGGTAAGTCTCAGCAAAGGCAAAACCACTGTTCACTGTTTCGCTGGTTATAGCTGGTTGATGGTCAAACTTTAATCGGTGTTACCGGTACAGCCTTCTAGTAGAAGGACATGCAGGTATTTGTTCCACGAAGGTTTCTACTCCACGACATAATAATCTCACAGAAACTTTTACTAGAGGCCGTGACTACATAGTCACCTACGTAAACGAAGTAGTTCGTCAAAAGACTTCCCTAACAAACATTAATCCCATCACAGGTCCCTTAAGTAAGTGGAATTTATAAGTGTTTCATCAGATATGGCATTTATTTCAATTTGCCGTGGACAAGAACGAAGTAGATTAGCTATCATAATCTAGAAAGATCGTCAAGGAAAACCATACTAGGTGATTTCCAGTTCACGTGGGCTGCAACCAGGCATTTTGGCAAGTAAATTCGATAATCAGTCGACCTCCGGTCGAACGTCACTGAGCGCCACTGCCTTTTGGCTGACCACAGTGGCCTTACTGCCAAGGTACCCAGGCTATAAGCAATGGCAAAACAACATCCGTACTGTGCACTAAAAAACAACGACGTGGACGGCTCCTTTGTGTGCGTGTGACGCATCTATTTAGGGTATGCTATTCAAACATTGCTGATAAATTCACTAAGCACCCTGAATACTTGTCAACCCCGACCTGATAAGAGTACAAGAACTGAAGCTTGTTTGTGCCTGTACAAGTCGAGACACATTCAAGTCTATTCAGGCGCTATTCAGCATCGGGTGGTGAATTTGAGGCTTTTGCACAATAGATGAGATAAGCACAGGAATAGCTAAATAAATGAATGTACTGAAAATATAAGAATAGTGGTTGGTTTGTTGAAAAAAAGCTGAAATACGAATAGTTCACTGGTCACCAGCATGCGCACCATATTTGGAAGTTGATCGCGTGTGAATCATCAAAATAAACTATACTGGAGGCTGATATTCCTAAGAATGCATTAAAAACAGCGCTAAATTTATTATAACTACAATAAGAAAAGTCGCTACGACAGTTTACCAGGAGATTATATCGTACGCTTGTGGAACTTATGTATATGTCTGAGCACAACCCCCTCTGGTGTGAGGTGAACTGGGAATTTTATTTGAGGTTTCGTCCTTCAAGTGAAGCCAATCTATGCTGAAAAGTCACGAAAGCACTACTGGTCGAACGGTTGAGTGCTCAAATTATGAAGCGGGAGGTTGTGGGTCCGAGACTCTGCGGAGCTTCGTGAGATGCGCTCTGCTGATGTCTTCCGATAGGGATGAAACATATGTACAATACTGCTCGGGTTTTTCAGTACATATTAGCTTCAGAGCTGGGACGAAATGTTTGCTTCAACCAGCTTTGCTGAGGCATGGCAAAACTCATGCTTTCGTGTTCCTTGTGAGGCAACATATGAGGAGGTTGTCTAAATTCGCAACTGATGAATATACCTTGGTCGATGTCATAAAATAGTCATTTTGTCGAAATCGTAGGATCCAATTGTGACAATAAAGCCTGCTCGGCGCAATGTACGCATCATCTAGTCTCCAAAACCGACTGCACACTGAACAAACAAAGTTCATTAAACACGCAGTTGATACGAAAACACGAAAAAGTCAGATATGTGCAGATGAACTTAGGGTTAGTTGTGTAACTAAAATCCGTGTTCAGCTTGGTAGTTAAGAGGTGTTTTACTGTATTTTGGAAATGAGGATGGTCGATTTCAGAGGCGACAGAATGTTTTGTTTCCTTCAGCCAAAATGCGAACTTAATGTCTCATGTTGCCTGAAAAGCCTAAATTAAAGTGGTTCCAGTTTTTATTAAAACCATTGGATTTGTAATATAATAGAAAAGGAGTAACATTACTTGTCGCATGGTATTATCCCAAAGTCGCGCTATGAACTCCAGAGTGATTGGACCAGCTTTGTGAGATAGCTTCCCCAGGTCACAGGTAATGGGCACACAGCGGAGCTGTCCGTTGTAACAACTCTGAATGAGTAAATAAGGAACAGGCTAGTGACAGCACACTTCGTGACAGCATAATGAGAGATATTTCTACTCAGATAAAACATCTCAAGATATTCAAGCGTAGGTAGCGTAAAACCATTGCCAAATGGGCAGAAGGAAAGTGATAAACTCCCAAATTGTTTAATTTTCATCCAAGAGGATAATCAAAGCGTCCCAATAAGTAAAGAAGAATTTCACTAACCCTTAGGTCCTAGATTACTGTGGCTTTCTGTTAGTACATTTATCGAATGAGGGACCTTAATGAAACGAAACACCTTCGATGCTTTCTAGCGTTTGTATGCACCCACGTCACAAGCTGATCGCGTTGTGCTGGTAAATCGGATGGTCTTATAGTTATTTTGCTCATTGCTGCCTGAGAACCAAAAAACAGAAAACAGAAATTTTCTATACGGTCATTCCGCTGAAGCGATTGTGGAGATTGTTTCAGCTATCAGCGTGTGGCAGCTAATTTCCCTACGACAAGATATTTTTCAAACACTGTTCCGCATAATATGCACCCTGGGATAAAAATACGAGATTGAAAATGGGGAGGGTTAAGATACGAGGATACAACATGATCTCTTTGAATATGTCTGTATCTCGGGAAAAAATAACTATTGGGAGATTCGGGCCACTCACCCCTCCCACATGTTGCTCGTAGGACAGTACAGCGGTAGAAGTGTAAGTTGAGTGTTTTGCCTGTTTGAAATAGGCTTGTTTGGAGAAATGTGACTTTCTGATTGAATGAATAGCCGTTTTTCGAAAAAGCAAATTTCTCTCCAACAGCAACAGGATGACAAATCTTTTTCCCAGGTGTCAAGATTTGGTGGATCGCACAGATGCACGTTTAAGACTAGAAGTTCTGAAACATGCGTAGCACCAGTTCTTATCACCAAAAAAGTGTAAGTTGAGTGTTTTGCCTGTTTGAAATAGGCTTGTTTGGAGAAATGTGACTTTCTGATTGAATGAATAGCCGTTTTTCGAAAAAGCAAATTTCTCTCCAACAGCAACAGGATGACAAATCTTTTTCCCAGGTGTCAAGATTTGGTGGATCGCACAGATGCACGTTTAAGACTAGAAGTTCTGAAACATGCGTAGCACCAGTTCTTTATCACCAAAAACATCTCGCAGTTGTATATCAATACTAGATATGCACACCTTCTAGGTATCTGTAAGAAGCGAAAGAGGGTGAGTGCTAGCTATGTGACCAAGTACTGATTCTCCTGGATTCTCTGTCACGATTTTATTCTCACCACGCATATGACCAGACACCCAAAACTTTATTCTTTCGATGTAAGCCTGACCTTTTGCGCATATGAAATTCATCTAAGTGTAAAAATATAAAATTCGTAGCCCGATGACAACATGGGTGCACTAATCCAATTGAAAATTTCGTAATGTTTCAACGCACTTCTTTTGCGTTTCACCACTTTCTTTTTCTGTGTACTCCGCAGTCGCCCATTTGTTGTGCAATGAAAATTTTCAGAATATGAGGATAAAGGCTGGAGTAATGCATAGTCCACGACTATATGATGTTTTCCACGTAACCACAGAATGAATAAGTCGCAGTAAATAGTGAATTCTTAATTGCTACTGGTGTCGCCCGGGAGTTGACGAACTATCTCCAATTCAAAAGCGCGTCACCGTAGAAACTGGGAGAAAACGGCTTCGAGATAGATAGTCAAGTTGTGAAATTAAGGGGACAGAACCAAAATGAGTAGCCTGAATCTGTTTAAAATTAGATGAACTAATTTAAGAAAATGAAGCAAAAATAGTATACTCACAACTGTTGTCATGAGTCGCTTCTGTTGTTTGTCAGAGTCCTCATTTCTCCCGGGCACCTCTTGTGACATCTTGTTGGGAGAAAGTGGAGGGTAGGCGGAAGGATGGCTGCTCGGAAAATCGACTCGGCCAAGGTTGACCGGTACGCTATCCGAACTTGGTCTGAGGAATTTGAATATCTGATAAATGAAATTGGTGCGGTATTAATACCAGTATTCGTCTTTAACATTCAAAGAAATCCAGTATGAACGGAGATTTTTGGAAGAAACTGGCAGCAACTCCCCAGATTTCACCAGTGTTTGCTTGACCGAGTTGTGTTCGACCTCCAGTCTACTGGATGAGTAAGGTTTCACCAAGTTGGCGCGTAATTCTTCCTAAATGCTTCGGCAAGTTTCAGTGAAATGCACTCACCACCAAGATTTGATACTTTTGTTTCGTTTACCTTCACGCTCATGTCCTCGTTTCACATTTCCAGAAAAAGTTGGGTATAGCGAAGAAGCCGCTGCATGTAAAGATCGGCTTCTTGACCAGCGAAAATGCTTATTGAGATCTTTTTTCTAGAACAGAGGTGTCTTAATGAACTATAGCCGTCAATTGCAATTTGACTGGGGAACGACCTGAACTGTCGTGAAGTGAATGCTTCCCGTACACCTGTCTCCATGGGCCACTGACACTGGGAGGTACCTTCCTTGGCAATTTCGTTCATAGCGGCGCAAGAAAACATTCCCCTAGTAGGATGTAAGAAATCGTGTCCTTATCACTTTGCACAACCAGCATTGCCATATATAGAGGAAGACAATAGAATTTCTCCCATTTTGCAAAACCAAACTAGTCCTGGAACGCGCTTGATGTAAAGAACAGTTTATACAATCCTTGTTTTACGGCCACTGAAAGGTATGACTCAGCAAACAAGATAAACAACCCAGTAGGAAGCCGTGCTGAATCTCTATTGTACAAGTGTTTATTCATTTTCGGAACGAACTGAAACCATATCAATGTGTGATGAAGTGAAGTTGTCACTAAGGCCTTTTGGTGTCCTGGTTTGTTTGTCCGTGTCGGTTAGTGATAGCAAAACTGGGAGCACTACAGGCATACGTTCGTGAAAACCATCCAACTGTTAGACCATGGATTACACTCCAGCATTCAACGACAAATCATTGTGCGGTGAATGCAGCCAGTGCACTTTCTAAACATTTATCTCTCGTACTTCAAAACCGAGAGTGACTGCACAAAATATTGCACTTAGACATGAGGACAGTGTTTGTGATCAAACTGGCCACTATGCCTAATAAACTCCAAGTTTTGATTTTTAGCGCAAACGACGGCTGACACCTTGAAATGGTTTAAACTTACACGGTAGTTGTGCGGATTGACCAGACGCTTCAAGGCTCGTGAATCGCATACCACAGAAGTCGTGTTCGTTTCCTTCTCACCTGGGATCGAAAATTGATGCTGTACTACGGAAGGGTTGTCCAGTAGGTACAGAAGATACTTTCCATGGGATTCTTTGATATCTCCGGCGATTTCATAGGGCCAGTCGACGATTAAACGGGAGGCTGGGATGAGGCTGTGATTTCGAAGATTCCGAACCTGATTTGCGAGTAAAACGGGTGATGGTTACATACATCTTAGTTGGTAGGATACCAGAACAAGTTGGATGAATACTGCGACTGAATAGTGCTCACTGCTGTTGCGGAATCACTGTACGTGCAAAGGTAAAACGAATGAATGAATGAACGTTCAGGAATACGTGGCCATATGTACGTGAGGAGAACCAAGGTGACGAGACGCACACTGCAGTTCAACAGTAAAAACATTCCTATCCACGTTGTTCAGCCAGACGTTGAAGAGTTGTTACGATGTGACAGGATTCGAATGTCTAGGCGTGAACTCTTCCTTGACTTAGTCAGCAATACTTCTGTCTTTTAAGTTCTAGACTAGACACTGACCATGACATGATATTATGAGTTAGGCTGGTTACTGCAGTGAATTGTTTAGTCACCGGGTAATTCGGATCGGAATATGGGAATTAACCAGCTAGCAAGTATATGAGCCAATTAAGCCAGAGTCAACCCTCAAGACAGTGTTTTTCCAGGTTTCCGTAAACACTATCCGGACATTTCGGCTTCTCGTGAGAAGTGGCCTCTCTCGGAAGTAGAAGAAGACAGTGAACGTTGGCTCTCAAGGGGGCGGTTTCTCGAGAGGTCTGTTTTTTTTCGCCTCACTGCATACAACAGAAATTCCCTCGTTAGGCTTCGGCAACAGCCACCAGGAAACCTCCATCAATACGTGTTCGAGTTAGAAAATAAAACCATCAGGTGTGTTCTGGCTAGCATCACAATCCACCTAGTTCGAAGATAATGATCGTGAGCTTGGGGAAAGGACAGCATGAAAAGCGCGGTGGACGGACATCACAAAAAGCTTTAAAGTGCAGAAGCAAGTGCCATTGCTAATTGTGGTAAATAGCTCAACAGCTATTGATTGACAGGACTCTACCTCACTAAAGATGTTTACCCGAAAAACAGGAGGATGTGGTTAGAATAAACTGTACTAGGTAGAGTGTGGTATCAATGCATCTAAAGGGTATGAGAGTTTTGCCACTGGTTAGTGGACCATGTAACCAAGTATCACTCGTAAATGTGAGTCCGCAATATGCCTATTCAAAAGAACAGAGGATATAGTGAATCAGTGTTGCTCAACCAAATTTTTGTGAGAGCTGTGAAAGGCGAGCTTTCAAACAGTCAAACTCAAACACACAAAATAACTACTCAAAAATCCCTTGAGTGGCACCAGTTCTGTGGACTGTAAACGACTGATAAACAGAATTGAATGTATTTCCCCCTCCCCTATTCAAACCAAAACCGTATACGAATGTTCTTCATTTTCTTTTGAATGTACTCCTGACCCAATAAGTGGCATTCTTCATAGGTCTTAAATTACTCATCTTATGGGTACATATCAGTAACGTGTGCTGCACATTGCATTCGACGTAAAATGGTCACAAACGTAGGTAAAACTTGATTAGCTACTTGTACCAAATGGCACTGAACCCTAAAAAGCAAACAATTGGGCTAGGAAATCAGACAAGAATCACTACATGGCTGTGGAACACGACTTTGGCACCAGAAAAGATTTCAAGGGAAAACCATGCTTGAAGACAGCAATCATTAGTGCCTGTGGTCACAATTCCACACCAGATGAAAACTTCTTATTAGCGGCTCTGCATTGAGATATTTTATTCCCCTGAATAAGATGAAAAACTTAGACTTTCCGTCATTAACATGCTTGACCGAGTGATAAGCACTTTGCTTTTTTCACAACAGTATAAAAAATTGCCAGCAGTAGGTAAAAATATTCCCATACCCGGCTTAATGTGGTCACACCCTGTCGCTAAAAAACACCTAAATTGGTCAGTAATTGCGCATGAATTTGTGTCCGGCATTCCAGTTCAACGTGTGGGACAGAGGAGGACAGACAATCACTCAGCGGAAACATTTTAAAACGCGCACGTTCGGAGAATAAAAAAACATTTATGGGTGAGTTACTCAATCAGCAAGTGATGAATGGAAAGTCCCGCACTTAAGCTATCACTCTGGCCGAAACAGATTTTGTGGGGGAAAACCGAGAGCAAACGGCTTTCACGCGTGCATAAAAAATCTCTAGTTCAAATGTATTCTGGTTAATTGGTTTATGCGGTAGAATCTGTCAACGAGTTGCCTATCTACGGTGAAACCCGATCTTCTGATCGGTTTTACAGATTGCCGTCAACAAGCTAAATTCTATCCTTCTGAAAACTTCTTTCTCAAATCGGTTAATCAATCTGCAAGGCAAACAATTCCACCAGGAAAACCAAAGGGTAAATTTCTACTGCAAAGTATCCCGTTCTTCGATAAGCACTCAGCTGCTCCACATATTGCACCCGTGAGACACATTCTTGTCCGGATGCTGGTGTAGGGGTTTTGGTCATAGATAGTTCACATTCTTTGGTATAAATTAACCAGCGACTGGATGAAAGAATCCGACGGACAAACATAGTTTTGTGTGCCCATCCAGGGCCAAACAGTAAACTAGAGCGAAGTCAAGTGGAGTCGAAGTGAGTTCAGTAGTGTAGTTAGTGTGCATCACCCATTTTAAAATATAGACTGTTCATATAAGTGGGGGACAATGCCATGTGACATTCTGCCCTAGAAGATATATCAGTCATTTTGGGGGTCTGAAAGGATTTTCCGTTCTGTTTGGAGGGAGAAGGTTGAGCCCCACGAATAGTTCACCGTCACAAAGCGACCGGACCTTACCGTGGTTTAACGGTTTGTGTGCTCACATGACCTATTAAGCTACGCTTGGTAGTGTTTGTGTGACAGTCTCACATCAGGTTGGTCAATGGTTGGAGGTTTGGAAAACACGGTCTCTTGATCCTCTAGGTTGAGGGTTGGAACATGTATAGTGGCATGCTGTGTAGAAATGAAATGCACTTGCATTTCCCACCAAGGACGGCCGTTTTGCGGTGAGGCATTTAAGCCAAAGTCTTTCGTCAAGAACGTTTACTGTCCTCTTGTCTAGGTGTGGGCGCCATGGTGGTATCCTAGCCAACGTACAATCATAGCAATTATAACTTGAACTAATCTCATGCCACGTCGCTATTCATGTCACTATTCGGGTCGCCTTACTTCGTACGTACAACATGCTACTGCTTCCGCCTCCTTTCTAGTACCTTCACATGTTCTCTCTTCTACCATACTCTACCTCAATTTGAATACACTGCCAGCAGATCCCAGTGCTAGGACTGACCACTATGTTGGCCATGCATCACGCTCAGCTGCAGATTCTCTGTCCAAATTCAGTGAAAACCATAGACATTCCGAAGTGTTTCTAAACTCCAAAAGCCTGTCGCTCTGCATCTGCCAAAAACAATTTCTATGACGCGCTGGGTGCTCTTATACAACGGGCTAAAACCTCAGACATTGTTGTGTTTGGTGGTGACATAAACGTCCTGTTGGGTGGACTAAGCGCTGACGAGGTCCATTTGGGTGGTCGTCTCTGGTTGGATACGAGAATAACGAGCAACGAAAATAGGCTTCTTTAGACGATTGTCAATGGGATTATTCCTTTGCAGTACCAATTTTTGGAACAGCGGAAATCGCCTGATGAGGTGGTGCCCACCAACGAACCAGTCCCGAATCCTAATAGACCACAAAACCGTCAGTTACCTGTGGCGAGGATCAACCACTGTCTGCCGCTCCTTCGGGAACACCAGCGTGAAACTTGACCATGCAATTTTGCGTTGTTCCCTTTCATTGCGCTTTTCAGCTCCACTTAAAAAGCGCAATCACTTCGCTCAGTCATTGAGGAGCTCGTGGAGTCAGGAATCAGCCCCTCAAACGCCTACCGGACGGTCGAATGTGGGATATTAACGGCCACTGAGAAAAGATATCCACAGTGCTACTCAGAGCCGGAACTTCTTTCTACAGTATCGCCCTGCCAAAATCATCCGTACACTAGTTCACTGATAGAAGCATGCCTTTACTATGCTAGTCGGCGCACAGTAGTCTCACAATGGACTTGAAATTTAGAAAGCTACGACGTGCGTCTGATGGAATAAAACAGACGGGCAATTGAGTTCAGAATACCAGTCCCATATAGGCACTCCAGCCTCCCAGTGATGCTAGAAAGTATTCCACCAGAATTTTTCTGCCAGAGGTATGATTGGTTCAGAGGACAAAGAAATTTGGTGACCTGCGAAAATCTGAACGTATATTAGGGTGTATCTTTGTAATGTACTACTCATAATGTTGCTGAAAATCCATCGACAGCCCACGACCGGTTTCGCCCTTCTTGGGGCTCATCAGGTAGGCGCAGTCCCCGGGTTTCCGTCAACCATATGTTCTACTTGAAACCAAATTGCACGAAATTAGCGAATATACACTCATTTGCAAACCAATTTGGTTCTTTCGAGTGACTCACCTGGAACCCAGCTGAATCTCTCGTTTATGATGTTCTCAGGCAACTGAATGTGCTGCACCAGGCCGCCTCATGTTTCAGTCGCTACGATATTTGAAATATCGCGATACATATATATTTGTATCTGAGAACATCATAAAGAGCGATTCAGCTGGGTTCCATGTGAGTCCCTCGAAAGAACCAAATTGGTTTGCAAATGAGTGTATATTCGGTATATTAGGGTGGTTTTTGGTTTGAGAACATACACAACAAAATGCAACATTTTTGCATAAAACGTGTTATTCCATTCGCAAAGGTTTTGCAGCTGGGAACATTGTGCGGTCAAGGCACCCCATGATAGTCTCATGCCCCTGTTCAATTTGAAATTCGTGCAACTTCACTGAAAACTACGGGCTTGCTGGAGGCCTGTGTGCAGTTAAACTGCTTGAATCTGCACACCTCGAACGGTTTGGATAATCCCCATTTCACCCATCATTTGGGTGTCGTTTGATGTGTAGCGGTTTCGGATGTTGCCTTCCACAGTAAATCAGGAATAATTGGTTTCTGTCCCAATCCTGCGAACTGATGTAAACTCATTGCGGAAAGGGCACGTACAATAGAAAAAATACATACCTGCGAACTCAGATGGGCAACAAACTGCACAATGGTTGCTTACCGTGAATTTGATTAATAGTCGGGAGTCTCCAATCTGATTCTCTGCTGAAATTGACTTGATACCATCGCTTGCATTGCCGGAGAAATACACTGTATTAGGTTCGACCGTACTGCAGATTCAAAGACAGGTTCGGGGGGTCGGGGATAAGATAAACCAAACTAACAAATGAACTGGTGAGAAAACAAAATTTGACGTTAATCAACTCTGATCATCAGGTGTATGTACCGCAAAGGTTAGCGCTTTCGGCCAGTGTGAAAAAGTAGTCACGTAACATGACATCCAGTAGTGTTTCTTACGTACATCATAAGCAAATGAATATTGATGCAAGCAAAATTGTGTCCGAGTTAAAGAGCGTTCAGCCTGTGGAACGACGTAACTAACTGAAGCTACACACTGGGCCACGACGAACAGTCTAACATTGCCCGAAGCTCGGAGATCTATTTCTCCTGACCGAAAGTACAACACAAGTCGAGGAAACGTCAGAGGTCAGATGAAGAGAAACATTTGTGCTGACCGAGAAGCTTGGTTGGCTCAGAAAGCTTAGTAGCCGCAGGAAGAGAAAAGAAGCTGGGAGTACGCCAAGTCCATTCTCTGTGTTATGCGTAACGGACCTAAGAAATTCTCCAATAAAAACTGATATAAAACTGAGTGTTCTTTGGGCTGAACACTCAACAACAATTCAGCTGGCCAGGTGAGTTTGCTCAACCGGGTTACCGAGAGGTAGCGGAGCACTTGACCGTGGAACCGGAAACTCCGATGGGTACGTAAAACAGCGAATTCATTTCTTCCCCAATCAATGAGCTTTTGGTTCAGACGACCCCCCACAGGCTCTGCTTAAAGGTAGAGGAAGAATTCTCAGTGGGTGCTTGTCTAACGTACTTCCCCCTATTTGGATTGATTTGATATGAATCGATGGAAGTGTATGACAAATAACGCGAATATTATACATTGTTAATTTTTACACTTGGGAATGTATGGATAGCTCCCCAGAAGTTGTGCCACAAGCAGTGGTATCGGACATTTTTCAGTTTCGTTATAGGTGAGGAAATGAGACAACTGCTGAAAGGCACTTGAAACACCGTTGTTCAGATATCTCCGAGCTGCTCGCTCGGAGACCAGCAATGTGCAGGCGACATTGTTTCATTTTTGTAAAGGAGCATGAGGTAGGGAAGCTGACCATGCACTTATTTGCAGTGCGCTCTGAGCCCACCGATTGCAAATTCAAGCTGCAAGACGTGCAATTTTTTTAACGTGACCTCAGGAATTCAGAGTTAGACTGGAAAGTGTGGAAAACTGGAGGTATCTCGAGAGCTGCATTAGTTTTGACGAAAGTGTAACACACGAAGTCAGCGAACGAATCTTGAATTCCATAATTCATCATCATCATCATCATCATCATCATCATCATCATCATCATCATCATCCCCACCATCGAGACAGCAACATCAGTGTCGGCACTCATGTTTCACTGTCGTACAACCATAAGGTTCCTCTAATCATATTTAAAGCTCTAGAGTAAAAAGAAGGAGAAATAGTGGGTGGGAGAAGGGATCTAGTGCCGACCTATGTCAAGCACTTTGAGATGCTCAAACAAGCGCGCAATCAGACACTCTGGAAGAAATCTAACAGCCACTGATATCAGCCAGCCGCCTTTTCTTGCAGTGTACCGAGCCAAGCATAGGAGGGATCACGAAGACTCTATGCTGGAGAGCCTACTGCTTCAACAACATCTTTCGAGAGACTCACCTGGAACCCAGCTGAATCTCTCGTTTATGATGTTCTCAGGCAACTGAATGTGCTGCACCAGGCCGCCTCATGTTTCAGTCGCTACGATATTTGAAATATCGCGATACATATATATTTGTATCTGAGAACATCATAAAGAGCGATTCAGCTGGGTTCCATGTGAGTCCCTCGAAAGAACCAAATTGGTTTGCAAATGAGTGTATATTCGGTATATTAGGGTGGTTTTTGGTTTGAGAACATACACAACAAAATGCAACATTTTTGCATAAAACGTGTTATTCCATTCGCAAAGGTTTTGCAGCTGGGAACATTGTGCGGTCAAGGCACCCCATGATAGTCTCATGCCCCTGTTCAATTTGAAATTCGTGCAACTTCACTGAAAACTACGGGCTTGCTGGAGGCCTGTGTGCAGTTAAACTGCTTGAATCTGCACACCTCGAACGGTTTGGATAATCCCCATTTCACCCATCATTTGGGTGTCGTTTGATGTGTAGCGGTTTCGGATGTTGCCTTCCACAGTAAATCAGGAATAATTGGTTTCTGTCCCAATCCTGCGAACTGATGTAAACTCATTGCGGAAAGGGCACGTACAATAGAAAAAATACATACCTGCGAACTCAGATGGGCAACAAACTGCACAATGGTTGCTTACCGTGAATTTGATTAATAGTCGGGAGTCTCCAATCTGATTCTCTGCTGAAATTGACTTGATACCATCGCTTGCATTGCCGGAGAAATACACTGTATTAGGTTCGACCGTACTGCAGATTCAAAGACAGGTTCGGGGGGTCGGGGATAAGATAAACCAAACTAACAAATGAACTGGTGAGAAAACAAAATTTGACGTTAATCAACTCTGATCATCAGGTGTATGTACCGCAAAGGTTAGCGCTTTCGGCCAGTGTGAAAAAGTAGTCACGTAACATGACATCCAGTAGTGTTTCTTACGTACATCATAAGCAAATGAATATTGATGCAAGCAAAATTGTGTCCGAGTTAAAGAGCGTTCAGCCTGTGGAACGACGTAACTAACTGAAGCTACACACTGGGCCACGACGAACAGTCTAACATTGCCCGAAGCTCGGAGATCTATTTCTCCTGACCGAAAGTACAACACAAGTCGAGGAAACGTCAGAGGTCAGATGAAGAGAAACATTTGTGCTGACCGAGAAGCTTGGTTGGCTCAGAAAGCTTAGTAGCCGCAGGAAGAGAAAAGAAGCTGGGAGTACGCCAAGTCCATTCTCTGTGTTATGCGTAACGGACCTAAGAAATTCTCCAATAAAAACTGATATAAAACTGAGTGTTCTTTGGGCTGAACACTCAACAACAATTCAGCTGGCCAGGTGAGTTTGCTCAACCGGGTTACCGAGAGGTAGCGGAGCACTTGACCGTGGAACCGGAAACTCCGATGGGTACGTAAAACAGCGAATTCATTTCTTCCCCAATCAATGAGCTTTTGGTTCAGACGACCCCCCACAGGCTCTGCTTAAAGGTAGAGGAAGAATTCTCAGTGGGTGCTTGTCTAACGTACTTCCCCCTATTTGGATTGATTTGATATGAATCGATGGAAGTGTATGACAAATAACCCAAATATTATACATTGTTAATTTTTACACTTGGGAATGTATGGATAGCTCCCCAGAAGTTGTGCCACAAGCAGTGGTATCGGCATTTTTCAGGTTTCGTTATAGGTGAGGAAATGAGACAACTGCTGAAAGGCATTTGAAACACCGTTGTTCAGATATCTCCGAGCTGCTCGCTCGGAGACCAGCAATGTGCAGGCGACATTGTTTCATTTTTGTAAAGGAGCATGAGGTAGGGAAGCTGACCATGCACTTATTTGCAGTGCGCTCTGAGCCCACCGATTGCAAATTCAAGCTGCAAGACGTGCAATTTTTTTAACGTGAACTCAGGAATTCAGAGTTAGACTGGAAAGTGTGGAAAACTGGAGGTATCTCGAGAGCTGCATTAGTTTTGACGAAAGTGTAACACACGAAGTCAGCGAACGAATCTTGAATTCCATAATTCATCATCATCATCATCATCATCATCATCATCATCATCATCATCATCATCACCACCATCGAGACAGCAACATCAGTGTCGGCACTCATGTTTCACTGTCAACCAACCATAAGGTTCCTCTAATCATATTTAAAGCTCTAGAGTAAAAAGAAGGAGAAATAGTGGGTGGGAGAAGGGATCTAGTCCCTATGTCAATTTCACTGTCGTACAACCATAAGGTTCCTCTAATCATATTTAAAGCTCTAGAGTAAAAAGAAGGAGAAATAGTGGGTGGGAGAAGGGATCTAGTGCCGACCTATGTCAAGCACTTTGAGATGCTCAAACAAGCGCGCAATCAGACACTCTGGAAGAAATCTAACAGCCACTGATATCAGCCAGCCGCCTTTTCTTGCAGTGTACCGAGCCAAGCATAGGAGGGATCACGAAGACTCTATGCTGGAGAGCCTACTGCTTCAACAACATCCAAACTTCCCGTAATCTCTTTCACTCCATTCTGTCAAGTCACACGTTGTCCACCTCGCGGTTTGCATAATTCCGAAAGAGGCACCGAAAACAAAACACGTGTTGGTAAACGGTGCTTTGGTGTGCGTAGCCCATCGTTCAGCCACCGTAGTTGATGGCCATGGGTGGCTCCGCACAACGAACTACCCGTTTTCTAATCACCTCGCTGCGAATTCGTTGGCTCCATCCGAAACCAGCAATGTTTCTGAGGCATCTGTGGTCTAAAGCCCGAAGACGCCTCACATCACCTGTCTACAGAGGCCACGTCTCCCCCCACACAACAACACAGCCCTTAATGTAGCCCGGTACACGTAAACTTCAAGACCCGGTGATGTGCCCTTTTGACGCCACAAGTGACGTAAGTTAGCAAACGTCATTCGAGCTTTTGAGATTCTTGCACTGACTTCACCAGACGCATTTCTGTCAGAGCTACCGCCTGTCAGCTACCGACTTATGTAAAACTCTCCACAACCCGCAGTGATTCTCTCTGAGTTGTAAGGAATATGTTCAGAGATTGCACGTTCTGGGTCATGACTTTGCATTTTGGAGGTGCTAGGTGCATGCCGAAAGATGGGATGATGGTGGTCTATTAGAAGAGCTTCTGCTTCTCTCTTGTCTGCAATGATGAGGGCGTACTCGAGATCGAAAAGGTTCTGAGCAACAACGATATGATCACCGGGGTTTCGAAGACCTTTCAGTGTAGGTTTTAATATTTCATCACTGCCGAATTTGTTTGTCAAACCGTGCTGGCATCAAAACAGTCCTAATGTACCTGTGTCAGACTACACTGTTGGCTGTACTGTTGTACGACCGATAGAATAGCCACTGAGGGTAGAGGATGTGAGACATCTCCAAGCCTTTGACAACTAATGAGTCAGAACTATATATCATTTCGGCTAAAGCCGTTAATTCTCAATCAAATAATCAGGAAGTAGGTGTTTTTGAAGCAGACTAGTTCACTCAAAATTGCTTCCACAACTGCGGCCAAGCTGGCTGGAGTATATGCTTTACATGTCATAGTGCCACCTTCCAATAGGCGTATTGCTTTCTGTGTCTAATTTGCAGTGGCGCAAACCCAGAACTGTTCGAATGTGACATGGCTGAAGGGAATGAAGAATGTCATGAAAAGTTTGGGTCCTGTTGGTGTTGTCTACTTTACAGGGTGGAGGTTAAGTTGCATTCATGGTGCGTGGTAGCAGGGGCTGAACGATCTGGCAACTAACTGACGACAAAGGCCTACATACAGGCTGTCAGTTTCTATATAGTTTGCCCAACTGATTATTGGAGGTGTAAGCATCCCAGGTTTTGAGGTAGGCTAGTCGTAGGCCTCCATCTCTGATTTTCAACGCATACTGCAGTGATGCCGTGAACAATGATGTTGATGCTCTTATCAATTGAGCAGAAGTGAACTAGTTTGCAAGGTATCCCCCAAACTATGGGATGAATTGTGTCAGCTGGGATGACCATTGAAGAATGCTCTCCAAAGTCGGTCCTCAGTGTGACGCATGTAACAAAGTACGGACTGAAGTTAACGACTGGCTAAGTACACTAGATTATGTGTTCGGACGAATGTAGCCATTCACCGCACTTCAGGGTAAGCCCTCAGCCCATTGTTGTTTCGTACACTGCGGTATGAATCAATGCTGAAGGATACACATGGGGATTGTCATTGCTTCCATTCAAAAAGCAGGTAAAAACGGTAGGAAGCTGGAGCCGCGAGTGAATTGGCACTGCCGCCAACGGATTGTTCAGCTGACTACCGAACGTACGATAGGCAACAATTTAATCGTCTCGTCTCCGTCCCTTGTCAACTCTAACAGCCCCTATTTAGCTTACGATTAATCGAATGTTCTTAATGGACAATGAGGTGGATTATTTCGTTTTAAAATGCGCTTTTTCATTTCTAATGTGATGTGCTGGAACCAGTATCCTTGGTTAGTATCTATAGATCGGGACTATCCAACCTGATCCACCATACTTCGAGCAAATCTCGAATTGATTTCAACTGTCGGGGGAACGTTCCCCATTGTAGTTTTGAAGCTAGACTTATCCGACTACAACGAACTCCCAATTGAATGGGAAGTGATGTTTTATTTGGTTTGTCGGAAAAATTCTTTCCGTTTCAAATCTTTCGGTCAAGACAACGGAGCGAACAAATCTGCACTATCCCAACCAAGTGGATGTCAACACGGAATTGCCAAAGTTTCTAAAAATTCAGTCTTGTGTCTTATGTGACCAATTTTTACACAAGAATTTCCTCAGAATATTTAACACAGGGTTTGAACAAATAAGGAGAACACCGACACTGGCGTGTAATCTGCACACTGTCTCTATGGCGTTGTTTACTGAAGCACTCGTTCGTTCCGTGTGCACTTGCCCCCGAGGTGCTTGATTGCGTGGATGGGGACAGATGACGGAAAGTGGAACCTTCGTATGACAAGCGCGTTTGTTTGTCAGTCATGACGGCATGTTTTTCCAGTGGATTGGACCTTTGCCACGGAAGGTAAACAATGTGTCGGAAAATTGTTTAAATAACACCCTGCGGATTACGATGAAGTGGAGTCTGTCGTCTGAAACAACGGCGCAGCTGGAGTACAGTTGGCTGCGCACCCTGTACACAGAGGACTGGCTAACAAAAATACGAGCATACGTTTTTGTTCGGTGGGGCCGGATACCAGAGACAGTGACGAGGCATCAAGCAGTTCTTCAACTTGGACGCCGGCTAAGTCGAACCAAATTTTTTGTTGGCGTCAGTATCTACGACTCTACTGACAGTGAACACAGTGAACACGAAATTTTACTGACGTACCGTATCTCTACTACAAAAATTTAGTGGTAATTTAAAAATTGTGTTCATAACTATCAAAATCTAGCTACTTGTCCCGCGAAAAAGCAAGCAGAAGCGGGGATCAAATCGTACTTACCCGGTAACAGACACGTTAACGACCATCTTGACGTTGACTCTGAGTTCATGTGTAGGTGAACCGTGTACCTCAACAGGTGAAGCAGCACCACTGAGGAAAAGAAGATTAACGCGGATTTATATGATGTGCCAATAAGCGGGAATATATTTTAGTGTAGATATTAAAATGTTTTCAACTGGGCACATTCCCGTGTGGACTGTACTGCCATTCTAAAACTGTAAACCTACAGAGAGAATAAACACGCAATCTCCAGACGTGAATTTAACATACAAACCTGATGTCCTGAAGTCCACATCACAAAATAACAATTTTTATGGAAGACCACTAACTCTTCCAACACACTTATTGTCTGTTTTCAGTTAAATCAAAACCGCGTTCGTGCGACTAAGGCAGATACAATTGTTTGAGCGGAATTCATGTAGTTACTGTACTGGTGAAAACCTGGATAAGTTAAAAAAAATAAAACTTATACCATCAATACCATACCGAAACTGGCTGGAATGATACGGGCTAGAGTGGACGGATTGAACTTTAGAAATCATGAGATTCAGATGAGAACACGGATGACGTAATTGAATACAAGGTTTTGGTTGATACAGCCAACCTTCCTCAGAGAAAATTTTTAAAACCAAGTGAAACTGTTTAGGTCAAACATTGTGAGCTTTTATTGGTCTGGGTGTGGAACTCGGTTTTAGTTGTTTGGGATTCGTATGTGTGTGTTTGCAACAGACTAAGTGACCGCTAATCCTTGTTGGAGACGATTTAGGTGAAAATGGGTGCTAGCTGTGCTGACAGGGTTGAGTAATCTAAGTTCCCCTGTCCGTCACTGTTTAGATCTCCATCCGGTATCTGTTTACTTAACTGCGAGACCTCGGTAATGAGGCCGGAACAGGTCGGGTGTGTTTGTCTCAGGCGCTCCGGCACACATCCGTCCCGGGGTTGACCTGAAACGTCTAAATGAATTATGTACCAGCATAGTGGATGTAGTGGTTGATCTCTAGTGTGCGAAAGCAATTACCCATTCATGTTTAGTTTCTGTCAGATGGCTGGACATAAATATGCCGCTCGTATGTGGCATGTGGGGCTACCCCATTGCTTGGCCTGTATATTTGGTCGACTGACGTGCGCAGCGAATCCTATCAACATGATTCGTGGTTTCTTTGGGATGAGTGGGCTTCTTAGCCTCTATCAGATATCACTCTTAGGTGATATCGATGTTGAGGAATCTGCCAATATCACGTGCTTCCAGTACCTTGCACATAGCATCATAAGTCTAATCCTTATGCGGTATACGGGACACTACTGAGGACAGTCAGCTTGCAAACTGCATTATTCCGGACGACTGGACAGTAGTGTCCCAATTTCCAATGCCGCTGGCGTCAAATGTCACGATAAACATCTCGATAGGCTTTGGTATTGCCGTGCACTTCGGGCTAGAAACCAAACTGTATTTCAGCTCCGGGAACGCGTTGTCCATCTGCTGGATCCAAACAAACTCTTCATCTTTCTGGAAGAGTTGAAATAGTAGAGATTCCTCTCAGAGTATTGTGGTGCGGATTTCACTTCGTACTCTGTGAGGCGGAAAAACGAATGTGGCTCTCTCTTCAAACTCTGGGAAGAGCATCCCCTATTGCTTGCGAATGTCTCTGGCAGTGGATGAACATGACCATTTCTCAATAGACAAACGATTGGAGGAAAAATTGACAATTCTTAAAACTGAAGTTTAGCTCAACTCCTAACCCCTTCAACAATTTACTAAGCGTCGTTGTATGATCTCATTTGGTCTCAATGTTCACTCCGCAAAATGTAATGCCTTCTAATCTCTGTAGGATTCGTAGTAAACGTCTCCTGGGCATTGTGTAAACAAAAAAGCATTCAAAATAAGCGCACCACTGTCTGGCGATTCAAAAAAAACTGTTTTGCTTCCATCGCAAATTATCAGAGGAAACTACCAATAGCTAGATCGTGAGTCGACCAGCGAAATAACTTTGGCGGCGTGCATCTGCGCGAAAATTTCTTCCGTTGTGGACATAGGCCAGATATCTTCGTTGACCACTGTCAGGAAAGTCACTTCTCACTTCCTGAAAGTAACCACTGAATGCCCGAAATCTACTAAGACCCTCAACTCCGTTAGATGCTGACCAGACGGCGTGAGTCAGCATTGGATCATGGTGAGGCAACGCTCCCCGATTTGCAGCGCGCGACAGCCTTGTATCAAAGCCAGAAAGCGCAAGACAGCGTTTGACCAATTCCAGGCAGTGTCCTTGAGATAGAGTAGCTTGGGGCCGTTAAATTTTCGCACTCATACTCTCGTACTTGCTTGTTCGCAATAAAGCTATTGTGTTCCTATCGGCGAGTCTTTGTTTTTCCGGCACTAGGCACTGGAGCGGGAACAGCAGTCAGATATAGCATTCACTTTGTCCGGTTCCCGAAAATCCACACAGAATAGATGTTTCCAAACCAACTTGCTGGTCAGGAACACGGGTGAGGCACGGGAGTTTCCCATTTTATGTACGACAAGGTCGCTTGAAGGTCAAAAAACATCTATCCACAAAGTGTCAAAACGCTGACTTCCGGCGCCAATGGTGTCCAGTGTGCCATTCATATATGAAATATGGATGGAACACCCTGGAATAAAATTAGCTCATGAGCACAAAAAAAGCAACACTAGAAGTGTACTTGACAGCGCATTTAAAGAAAGTCATGGCTTTTGAAATACAATGTAGCTAGATCCAGAGGATCAGATTTTGTGATATCATTTGCCCTTAGCTGAAACACACAGCTAGTAAGTGCCGATCTGTCTGGTGACACTACAATGAAGCGTTTGGTGAATGAAGTCCCAGAAACCAGTTAGGAATTGTTACATTACATCTGGTCTACCAATAGAACTAGAAGTAAATAACTCACAATGTGGGTAAGCTGTATAGTGAATAGTCTAAGGCCTTCGTCCAGAAATCAAGTGTTACTGAAACTAATTGAGTGAGTCGTATCAGGTGTTTCATATTCATCGATCACCATAAGATTGTTGACTGTGATTAAGAACAATATTTTCTATGGGTGTGATAGATGGATTAAGAGGAACCAGTCAGAGAGAGTACGAAATCTTCGAGTTAGCACAACTCAGTATTGATCAATATTGATCGCATTCCATTAGAATACTCTTAGATGCGCTTCAGATGAAGAGAGAAGTACCAATGTTGCACATTTTGATTGCTGCACATTTTCAGTGGATAAGTATTCCTTATTTTTGGCTGCCCTGAAACGTACAGGAAGACAAAAGACAGACAGAAAGGTAGGCAGGAGGGCAGATGTCCCTAAGTAGTAATTTTTACTCAGCGTCAGGCATGAAGACTAATCCAAAATATCCAAAACCTCTACAATCATAGTCTCTCATGCCAGGTATAACACAACAGGCTGTCTTCCGAAGTGTGCCTCAGAAGGACCACTGACAACGGTGGTGTGAATTGTGAATTAGTCAAATAATAAATGGGTCGAAAGTGAATTATGTGGTCGCACTCGTCCAAACATCTTACACATTCACTGCGGGGCTCCCCATCGCAGTCTACGGCGAAGTAACTATCAACATCATACAAACTCTACCAATTGTGGGATAATCAAAATACATGTGAAATCAAACCACAGACTTTGAACGGGTCATCTCTCTAATTCAGTGTCGGCTGATAGCGAGGAAACTTCATCTTACCAATTAGTCTACCTCCGTATTGAAAATGAATGTACATAATTGCATATTAATCATTCTGCAAAAGTGGGATATCTCTTAAGAAAGACGTTTTCATTAGGTCAATCGGGATTACCGTACCACCATGCCTCCTTCAGAATGATGTGAACTAGGCCGTGGGCAAAGGGCGACTTGGAAGAATGGTATCAAAGAGGACACGGAGCGTTTGGGCATTGTTGGTGTGGCCCACATTACAACATGGTGTCAACGTGATTCCTCTCTTGGCCTGGATAAAGATGTTACATGGAAAGGTGCCTAATCGAAGTCATGGTGTTCGTACTGCCAAATTTTTTCCAGATTGTCTGATTGAGCGCAGGGACATGCAGGCAAGTCACAATGCTTGCGGCAGGTTAGAACCAGGTTCCTTTCCCATCCATTATGTTCTTTTTCACTTTGCTTTAAGTAGAATTAAACAAACTTTGTGGTTGTGCGGTAGTGAAGCAGTGGTGCTTATAAGGCTAATCGATTAGCTACCGAGGCAAAACCATCTGCATTTTATGTTCTCTTTGCAAGGACCAAAACACCTGTCAGAATCGCATGCATAAACGCTGCTCCATTAAGTCACGACGAGGTTGAACAATTGCTGTCTTTCAAAAAAGGGTATAAATCGCAGAGCAGACTGGTTGAGACGCGTAGGCGTGTGCTCGAACCACTTCACACGACATATACACGAAATACTTCAGTACAAAATGAAACAAGGATGAAATCTAGGACCCCTATAGAGAATAGCGTCCAAAAACAGCAGTGTTACTAAATTTGCTCCATATTCACCGCTGTTAGCGCCTCGTGTGCTTGCGCGTACTGACTTTAAAATTGACCAAGCAGATTGACGTCCACTATGCGTCACAACAGCACCTTTAGGTTTACAAATCAGTGGCCGCATAAACGTTGTAAACCACTCACCCAAAATATCACACTCCTGAAAATGTTCACTTCTCTGTATCCTTATAAACCACAGAGACTACCAACCTGATGCATATTCTGTCACCCATATTCTAGTATGTCTGCGAACCATGATGACACAGGAGAAACTGCCGAGATCTGGGAGAAATGCCTACGCCAGGAACTAGAAAAGTTACCCGTCGTTGGTGAGTTTCGGACCACTTGAATTCGACGACAGAAAAACGACCTCGGGTTCAGACAGTGTGTTCTTCAAACACAAAGTTGTGGATACGGTAAAATCCACCTAGGTAGTTTTATTTCAGTGCGACTGTGTAAGATCTGATGACAACAAAGAATAAACCCAGTTTTATCAGCAATCAAGTTTTCGTGAATAATTAATTGCAGCCTTTCGGTAGTAACATCTCGGGATCGTCACACGCGACTTGGTTCCTCCACCCTAACTGGAGAATTCAAGATAACTTTACGCGTAAAACCATGCTTGACCAGAGAAGAAATGCCCTGTCACAAAAATGTCTTTACATTTCGCATCTTTAAAGTGGAAACACCTGGTCACCTCTATCAGTGATTTCTGGTTTTTACCAGACCCAGTTGCGTCTGTTTCCAGCTTGTACAGTCATGGCTGGATGAAATTTTATAGAAAAAGTCTTCCTTAGCTGTGGGCGATGCTGACCTTCATGCTAGCCATCCATAAAGTATCTCATTACAATCTACCAGCAGCTGTGTTGAATACTGTCCGGTAGTGATGATACAGATAATTGGATGTTTTGATCTGCTGCTCAAGTCCCCAGCAACTTGTGGACAGCTTCTAATAGCTTAATTAGTTATGGCTGTGTAAATGTAGGTATCTGATATGTGTGATGAATAGAGGTAATTTGTGAAAAATTATCATGCGTCATGTGAAAAAATTGGTGACCTGTATGTGGATTTTCCAGCGTTTCGGGCCACGATAAAAAAATACTAATTACAACCAAAAGAGAACACGTGATTTTGATTTTTCTGGACAGTGGCCTCCCTTCAGAGGATACACATTTGGATTGAAGACTACATTTGGAGTGCACAAATGACTTACGTTATTATCGTGCTGTTTACACTGAACTGAGCCATCTGTACTGTGAGTTGGTGTGCGACAACCAACCACCGGAGAAGGCATTTCTGGCTCTCTCCTGGAATCAGCGGATTGGCTAGAGAGCAACTAGCTGCGTTTGGGGCAACATTTAGTCCCGGACCAAGCTGAGGAAATAAAGAGAATACATGTAACACTGTAAACCATCCCGCAAATGAAGACATGTTTAGCTGTTTGAAGTCAAGGGTTGTGACCATTGAGTAATGTAATACGTTAAAAAAATCCCTGAGGTTCCACTGATAGTGCTCTGCGGCATAAATGTACTTTTATACTTTGCTGTGCTTCAGGAACTGCCATAAACCATGCGTCCTTCATTACTCGGTGTCCCGCAACTTCTGGCAGTGTCTGAAATAATGGACATCGGCAGATGGACCGCGAAGTTTAGTCGCCTTCCCACCGTGCATTTAAATGTCTTATCTCACTGAATTCACACCCTGCTGTGGCTGACAAACAAATGAAGTGCACGGCGCATCAATCAAACTAATCGACAGAATTTTCGTACACAGACTAAAACAGCTAATTCAGTATGTTTTTTATTAGAAACGCAATATTTTGCAAGAAGTTATACCATTAAATTTATGCACCATGAACTTCATTGGCAAACTTGATGGGCGAAGAACATACCAGCTTTTGGACGAGCTGCAAAAAATGTCCTTCATATGATGATTGGTTCTTCACGTTTAACGAATGTTACACTGTACTTGATATTCAAGAATATAGTGTGCTTGTCGATCACTGTTGCAGGGACTGCGATGGTCCATAGGCTGTATGTTTCACCTACTCTCGTTGAATTTTTTCAGATAAACTCCTCAAAATGGACGGGGTAGGTACTTCCATCTACTCGACAAAAGAACAGGTAAATTATCATAATGGTGTTACTGTCGTCTTTGACGTACGGTGGTCATCGCACTGCATTCCACTGTCTGTATGCATGATCGGTACAGTCGTAACGCTTGTCATTACTTGAGAACAGGCACGGTTTCAAAAACCAGTGTGCGAGGTTTTCCCGGGTGAACGCACATTCGTGATGTTTCGGTTGTGACGGTCACACTCAGATCACGCACCATCGGTTGAGGATCGTCTCAGGACGTCCCCGACAATCGGTCTGTCATCTACAGCTAATCACAAGGGCAGACGTCCTACGTAGGTTTGGACCATTAGTCTGTAGCAGACGTCAGACAAATAAAAAACCTTCCCTTAACTGGAGAGAAATTTCAGTTGAAACCGAAATATTCGTGAACTGGAATACGCCAGGCTTCAAAAATGTCACCCATCACTTTACATACCTATCTGGGCGACAGCGACACGTGGAAATCACATGAAAAACCCACTATTGACACTGACATTAATAAGCTGCCAATCGACGTGCGCGCTTAGTTACGCGTGAAGTTTACGTACTCAAACATGAAGTGGACTGGTTGCTCAGTAGCGCGTGATCTCCAAGTGGGAGATCGCTGGTTTAGTCTTAGGCCTAGGTGCTCGCCTTATGGTTCAAATCATGCACATTTCAAATCCTCACTTATTCTGTACAGCCCATCGGATTATCCGCCGGGAGGATTGAAGGTTACTTTTAGACGATGATATCCTAAACTGAGTAGAGAAACATATGCGTCTGTGTTACGTCATTCGTATAACCTTTCGGTCGTGTTGTGCCAAAGAGCTACCAGGCCCACCAAGCAATAGCCCGTCTTCACGTGCTGACTTCTTTAGAGGGCAACTTGTATGCATCGGAGACTAAAACCTCACTAACGGACCATAGTTGTTCCCGAGTGAACCAAGGTGCTTAAGATCCTAATTTGCTACCAAATAAACCGATGAGACTTATTCCGTCTAATCTCTTACTGCTCCGCAAAAATTAGCGCGGTTCACTTTGATTCCCGTATTACCAACTTTCGCCGAAAAGATATCCAGTTTTCAGGATGCTATTTTCCTGCGACCCGCTGTTATTGAGTAGTATGTAGTCAAAAAGTAACACCTACATAAATAGGTCTACAGAAATTCAATCACTGGATAACCTCTACAGTACCCTCAATTTCCAAGCCACACTAGTGCACAACATGAAGGAGAACTTTTGTTGTCGCTTAATGCCCAAGAACCTTTGACCAGAAGATGGGCTAGTTTGGCGAAATGCATTCACACGCAAGCTAACTGCTTGCAATTTGATGTTCAATTAAAACCTAGGGTTAACGATAACACGAAGTTCGAAAGTGGCATTGAGCTGTCGAAGAGTTTCTAAGTAACCTCATGAGTTGTATGTTCTGGCAGAGAAATCAGTTTTGTAGGCATCAACCAGATTGCATACCGAAAGGGAGACTTTGCCGGAAGCTACGATGACGACACTCGAAGCGTCAGTTTTTTATGCTCGAAACATGGTAAAATGGCTTCACAAGTCTCACTATTAATGTCCCTTCTCGCGTGACGTTCATTTACGTTCTGTGGTGGGCATTCGAAATTTGTTATTCTTTCTATACATATGAGGGAACCCATATCGGCTGTATGTCAAAGCTCATCCGAAACCACTTTGTTGCTCCGAGGTTTCCATTCCCATCAGGTGTGATAATTTAATGTCAATAGCATTATACTTTAGCCAACGATGTTCACGTAAACGAACTTTGGCACCAAGGATCTGGCCAACCACTCCGCTGGGTCTAACTGGGCTAGGCACGCATCCACTACCCATGATGTTTCGATCTTCAGCTTTGCTCGTACTTTAACCAATACTCATCTACAATTCTGTTTACGGAAACACTTGCATCGACAAAATACCGACACACTTTTAAACCGGTGTAATCGGTCAAGCAGACCAATAAGTTTTCCGAAGTGGATTACAACGTACACTTATGATTAACCGAGTGGTGTCAACAGCTTTCATGAGATTGAGTTGAATAGAGTCGTAGAAATATGTCGACCCTCGTTTGATGAAGATTCGCGATTTACAGAAAAAATACGTTTTTGCCTCATTTTTAGTGCAGATGTTTTGGAATTGTGACGGAGTACTAGCCTAGTGAACTGGCGCCACCTATGTCCAAGGGTGGCGAATAGGGATGGCACGTGACGCTTACCACCGGGGGCAGAACCGGTAACTACCGTCAGTCAAATGTGGCAACCCAAAAAAATACACGATATGTTGAGGCAATGGTGCATTCAAACAAATCGGTTTCGAAGATGACATTTTAAATAGGGCTCCATAATCCAATATGTTCTGATTTACTCGTTTTCAGAAGGCTTTTGTGCAACAAACAATAAATTTGGCTTGTATTCATAAAAGAAATCAGTCGTAATAAGGTTGCAAACTTTGGCCATCCTTGGCCATCGGTGGTCATGTTTTTATCGGGAACGTTGGTAAGCTAAGTGTTCTTTTGAAAACGCAAGGCGGAAAAGAACATTAATGAAGGCTGTACAAACCGTAAAGTGCGGCGTGAGACTCGACAGAACTACCGGCGCACATGGAAGCACAGGTCAATGTATGGGAAACAAACGATTGAGGACAAGACAGTCATACTTGCTTCTAAGCTGATAGCAAAAAACTAATTCACTCATGTAGATTAGCAGTGGGCTGCGTCAGCAACACGAGAAACATGATCGCAAGGTGGACAGTGGAGGCTATAAATTTAACCAAGGCCAGGTCAGATTCCAAAGCGAATTGGAGTACTACTGCACGGGTGCTTTTTGGTCTATTTCTAGGTGTCTCATTTTCGGTGCCATGGTAACGATATGTCTTACGTCAAGAATTTCTGTGTGCACACAACGGGCTGTTCTACTTTGGTCAGGTTTGAAGTTTTGAAGTTACAAATGAGGTTTGATTCTGTGAATGATGTCAATTTACGTGAAAGTGCTGAGAAGGAGTGTACACCTGACTCACCACTCGGATTCAGCTCTGCGAATAGTGCGAGAATCTAAGGCGGCTAGTAGACATGCTATTTTGTTGTGAGTTGCCAATCGGCAGTATAGCTTTCACCCTGACAAGGACGAGCGTCACTAATCCTGTCACTGACTTCTCGAGTGACGGTTTCTCATTTGGAGAGTCCAGGCGAGTTGTGGTAATTCGCTTCTTCTCAACATATTACAGTTTGCACGTGGTCAAAGAATTTTGAAATTTCACTTATGAAGGTGAGGCAATGATACTGATCAGGCGAACCCCAGAAATAAGCAAATCATTCATCGTTCAGCAATGTCCCAATGTACTATCGTATTTACTCTACATGCTCCTCATGTGCAACTGAAGACCGAGGTGGAATATGGTAACTGTCTATGTCTTAACACTAAACACCTCTTTACGACTTTAAGGGTATATCAAAGGCGTTATGGTCGATTCTGCTTCATCGTTCTGGCACATCAATAAATCGCTGTGACAACAACTGCTTAAACCAGTCTTTACAGTGTGTCCAAAATCAAATGAACGCCTGCTTGTGTGTGAGAGTATTCAGATGCTAAGTCAGCCATGACTAGCTAGTGAGACGGTATTAAGGCCTGCGACAAATTTTTTCACCATCAGTCATCTGCGCTAAATCAATCCGTTACATTTGTCCACAATCATACGACGAAACTCAAGCGGTGTGCTAGTTGGATTGGATTATCCTTTACTGGGGTGACGATATCTTTTCCCCCCTCTCTCACTCTGTAGCTTCTAATCGATTCAGAACTGGGATGTGACCTGAGAGGATAAAAATAGGTAACCATTGAGACAGTTTTAATAGTATACGTAAAATTAGCATGTGTGTGGTGTGAATGAGGTCACCAGGCCTGAGCAGAACAGCCATTGGTTTAAGCAGATGACTTGCCCATCATGATTTCTACGGTGGATGCCGCCTGCCAACAGCAGTTAGTATAAAATGAGGGTATACGGTCCTAATCATCTTCCATGCGTAAAATCAATGGAGGGTAGACGATTCCCAGTGTTCCGTCACCCTGCATTGCCAAGCTGGATCAGCTCTGTGGGGACTTCTGGTGCTCAGCTTCGCTCAGCATTATATCAACCAAATCTCGCCTACCAGGTTTCAAAGACTACACCTGAGGGGAACTTTCCGTACTGTTGTTCTACAGGTTTCTGTAATCCTCTAATAAACTGTTTTTATGTATTTGCGTTCAGCGACCAAGGGATTAATTTCCATATGAACAAACCCTGAAGTAGGATGTACCCTCCATACAGACGAAATGTGCATAACGAAAGCGGTACCACGATATGCATTTTTTGGACACTATGACGAGAAAGTGTAAAATAAAGCCCATAGAACTATTGGCGATCGCTATTGCAGTGATATCAACCAAAACGCCAAGCAGCCACTGTGTTACCCATTCGACAGGTATTGTTAATAATTTTCCTCAAACAGTGTGGAGAGGGGAGTTGAAAAAGGGAATAAATACCATGAACCAATGTCATTGTGAATGGGTTTGCCCAGGTCTTTTCACTGGTTTAGTGCATCGAAGATAGCTTACCGTAGGATCCAGTTCCAGCAAGGTTGGTGGATATGTACTAACAAGGCTCGTCATGAATGCGGGGTCAGTACCAATATTTGTGACGGTTACCTTTACAGTGATCGTTTGAGCTTTATCATCCCCAACGTATACGACTGGACCATGTTTATCCCTGGAAAGTAAGTAATGAATAATTACCGGTATATAGATATGTTCATAATGAATTCAAAATTATCTACTTTCCCATCGAAGACTATGCTTCGTTCGACATTTCGTTTGACTTTCATTTGCTATCATTATATAATGCGATTATGCAAAGTTTAAGTTGGGTAACGGGGATGCCTGGATCTGGCTTCTCAAGCGTATTCATTAATTGGCTGAAAATCTTATAGTGAACTGGGGAAAAATTCTGGCTCCATTTGTTTAAATTGCCGACAGAGGGTTCTTTTTCAAATAAGTGGACCCAACAGGCGTTGAAAAATACACATCTAATTTGATGTCAGAGAGAAGTCGCGCGATTCTAGCGCAACCAGTAGGAATCACGAAAAATGTACCTTTGTTTGCGCGAAAACGTCGAACTCAAGAAGACGTTCTATTCAGGATAAGGCCCGTTGATCTTCGCACTGTATTAAGCTTCAGTTTGAGCACGCTTCATCGGCCAAGTTACGACCTACACTCCAGGCTGAAGACAGTGGCTACATGGAAGAAGGTTACTGCGATGGGAAGCAATAAAAAAGTCTTCTGTTTCCGCAGTGCACCTCACTAGAAGGACTAAGTCCGGAAAGTTCTACGCTCCAAAAGACGAAGAGGTCAGTTCACCCGTTTAATCATCTTTCATCAGTTGATTCACCCAAGAGGAACCTATGTTTCTTATTTCCTCCCAGTTAGTTTTGCAAGCCTATTAAACTCGCACCTCACAGGCTTTCTTCAAAATTGCTGTTGAGAAGTAACATTTTGAGTCAACGAAATGGAAATCCTAGGAACTTTACTTGTAGGCTTCTCAGTGTTTGTAGTGACTTTAAAAAAATGAAAGGGGTGTAGTAATTAGACCATTCACAATCTTCATACTCAGGGCTAATGCGCAGCGCTCCAGTTTACTGGCATCCGAAAACAACTTGTTTGTCAAAAGTTGCAAGCCGTTTGGACACTTAAATAGGCTGCGGGTCGGTGGGTCCGATACACAAGGCAAATAAATTTGCTGAGCAAACATCTGGAAGCGTGTTGAGGGTAACCTTCCAGCCTGGAAAGATGGTAATGCGAGGAAATTTAACAGTTCATTTATTATCGAAATTCTGGAGCTATCAGTCAAATCATTTAGATTCCAATACAGTTCTGAACTGGCCAGGACAGCACAGATTGTCAGGCCCTAAAATTGACAACTTACTAAATGGCCAGACGATATAAGGGGACATTTATGTAGAAATTACGCTGGACGGGCGAAGAAAATGCGTCTTATGAAGGGCATAAAACGTCACTCTGATGGAAACTGTCTTAGCTGCGAAGGTCACTGGGTACTGGATCACACGTAGGATGAAAGATATGAGGTTGATACGAAGAGGACTGAAATCAGTAGGTTGACCTTAGTAACTTGATGTGAAGAATCAGGTTCGAACTTAGACACTGTGCGCAACCACAAACAGTTTTGTTTGGAATGAGCATCATCACAGTATTCTTAGGATATTTCACATAGTTCCGAAACTGAAGACTAGAAGGGCACTCCTTCTAGTGGAAGGCGAGAACTTCTTTCAGAACAATGTAATTTCTGATTTGGCGAAAGGCCTTAGTAAGTCATAATCGTATAACGAAAGCACTTGTTTATTATTGCATGGATTCAGCACACCCAATAGGTCCCACATAGGGTAGATATATTACGGGAAATTCCAGAAATAAAGGTCCACTTCGGCAGCAGGGATGAAGAAAACGATTTCCGGAATTTTCAACAAAGTTGACAGTTTCCTAGCATAGCCCAGTGTTCTCAACCCTGGAGATGCTGCATAGAAGTCTGGTGTAGGGAAACCAACGCAGCGACGAAGTAGGGTGGCAGAAAAAGAACCTGAAAACCGCCGAGACTTGTGAATTTTTCTCGTGCTATTCGATAATTTGTGGCGGTTATCCAACACACAATCAGCTCCAAGGTGATTAGATGGACTAAAAGTCACTCCTATAGGCTATCCTACAGTCCATCTCTGATGCTTCATCATTTCTGTGCATCAGCGGTCTTGTCTGTCTACGCCAGGAACCTTTTAGTTCAACTGACAAGTACACAACAGTTACCTAGGCCCAACTGCCTACACACCTGCGTGCTGCACGGACGTTTGAATCTACCATGAATGATGTCTCCATAAAAGCAGCACAAGTGTATCCCAATGGTTCGTAGATTAGTCGACTTCCAGGTGGGAGCACCAGGCGAAAAAGCCTAACCGAAGTTAACACATGGACCAAGGTTACGATCAGAAGGTTTGCTTCAGGAGGATGGAGATTAGCAACCTGGTCTAGAAAGAAGGGTAATGCTGAAAACTCTACATAGATTTCATGCCATATATATAGACTTCCTGTCACCTGACTCGCTGAATTGGGTTTTATTTGTCGCTAGAAGAGTCTTCCAAAGTCTGCATTAATGTGGAACAAATCACGTATACCGATGACTAACCACAGAAAGACATGCGGGTGTGTCCTTGGTTCTGCTTATCATCAGAGCAGGCACGCAATTAAATCTAGGTGAACACCGTGATTCCAAGTGCTGGAATACGAAATCTTGTCTTGATGCCCTACATATTCTGTGGTAAGTCTCTGATGATGTTAGATGTGACTCCCACTGACTATATTTTAATTGGCAATTGCAGGCCATCAGGTAGGCATGCTGATGGCTTCCGAAGTGTCCCCCTTATTCAATGTGGTCGTGTTCCGTCTGTCTTATTCTAGACACCGAGAGTTCAACTGGACGCACATGCGGCTCAAAGCGAATCACATGGTGCATTGCTTACGTCAACATAGCTCGATGTCGCAGGCCACTCCGAAAACAGAGCCCTCACTGTCATATAAAAGAAGCGGGAAGGTTAAGGTCAACTTATACACCCCTCTGTACACCTATTTGGTTTTGACAGAAGACTCATTTAGAATCTAGCAGGATCTCTCGTTAGTGATGTTCTCAATTGACTGAATGTTGACTCATGAAAATGAGCTCCAAGAAGAGCAAAATCAGTCGTGGGCTGCTGATGGTTTTTAGCAAGATTATGAGCAGTGATTTATGTCCTCACAATGTATTTCTATATCTCGAGTATCCCACCAACTGAAATATGAAGCGGCCTGATACAGCACATTCAGCTGATTGACAACAACATGAAGGGGAGATTCGGCTGTATTTCGGGTGACTCTCCCGCCAAAACTAAGTTTGTATGCACAGGACTGCGTAAGTAGAATTTTGTGCAATTATGGTTCAAGTAGACTATAAGGTTGATGGAAACTCAGGGACTGCGCCTAACTAATGAGCCCCGAGAAAGGCGGAACCGTTTGCGCCTGCCGAAAAGTTTTCAGGAACCTTACAGATAGTGATTTATGTTTACATAATTCGAAGTCACCTTTTTATTTCCAGGCTGCAAAACTGGGAGTAAAATGCCACTCCATTCAACAAGAATGTGTTGATACACCAAGCTAATGATTCAGCCAGTAACTGGCGTACTGACTAGATGTAAGGCAGAGCCCGCAAAACAAGCGGGGTAATTCAGCTGATATTCGCGAATTTGAACGGCTTGGAAAATCAAATGCGAAAAACAGCTGCCCTACAGTTGTATTCACTACATTTTTCAACATATATATCCAACCATGATGTTGTACACAAGGGACTGACAGACGGTAACCGGTTGAAAAACGGAGGCAGGAGGCCTTCGGCCCTACTGCTTTGATTATTTATTGGCGAGTCCTCAAACAATTAACATGCTCATTCTGTCAGTGTGAGTTTCTGCGCAGTTGCAAGGTAACTGGAAGAGTATATGAAGAGTGAATAATTTCGGCCTGTGTCCAGCTTCAGCTGTCTAAGTACAATTTACTTACTAGTCCAAATAAGGCCGGGTTGTGAGGCCCCGAAAACTAGCTTTTGGGGCTCATGATGCAAATCTTGAACAGCTTCATGAATAAAACCTTCAACCGGTTTACTCATACAGCAGCTGCATTTCGATGAGGCGTTTTGAATATTCATTAGTTATACTCCCGTAAATTTATTTAACCGATGACTGTCTATTCGTTTCGTCTGCTTCCAACGCATGCTTGCGTGCTTACGTCTCGTTACTGAAGCAATTAATACAAATTTTCGCATCCCTCTGTATAATCCTATTGCCTGTGCTTGCGAATAGTGCGACTAAATAGTCAATATTCATTCACTGAATAGTTCATCATAGGGACGGGTTGGTCAACATGACGATCAGAGCCTTCTAGTCGTCCAAGTAACTGACCTTGAAACTTCGAATTCATAAGTGACTGCCAACCGGGGACAGCAAGTTCGAACTGTACAGTCGTTGTCAAAATTGAGCTGCAAAGGAGAGGGTGCAAGTAAAAATACGGTTAGAGATAAAGCCATTTTAGCATGATCTCTTGAAAACAATAAGATGCAACGTAAAATAATTAAGGATATGAATTAATTGTGTTCAAAACTAGATCCGTGTAACCGGGAATCGGGCACGTAGGACATGGGTTTTCCTTTCGGGTAAGATGTCCATGAATGAACACAAACAGCATCTGTCACTTCGGTATGCCCATAAACAAAACTGAGGTTGTTTCATAAGGCTATGTTTTACAGCTCAACAGGTCTAAGCAGTGACTCTAGCTGACATACTCTGCCTATTGTATACAATGTCAAGGCGTCGTTTGTTCATCTAAACCTCTCAGTTTCCCTGGACACGGTTGATCTTGACTACTTGTACACATGCTGACAGACAGAGTTAACACCGGGCAGCTACAACAACAGGTACATAAACAATATGGTCAACGAAACCGTGAAATCGATATTGAAATGTTTCAGCAAGCCTGCATACTGGTAATCACAACGCTACTCAAGGTGTCACCTTGTGACTGCTTGGTCACACACCACACCCAAACAGGAGTTATGCTACCAGACTAAGAAGCGGTGATCAAAATACAAATACACTCATTGGCTTGCAGCTGTACGAAATGTTACAAAAAGGCTCAAAAACGTGTATTTCGATTATCAGTCCATGAAAGTTAGATCGAACAGGATGTTCGGAGGAATCACATCTGTTCATGCCGTAAAAAGATACTATTCTAGTTAGGCAATTTTTTGTGACTCCATTTGTGAAAATCTCCACACAGTAACTGACAATCACCTTGGCATGACCGAATATCATTGAACAAGCTTCATTCGAGTCTTTAGAGCTAATTGACAGAAAACATTTAGCCTATTTGACTCGATTTCACCATATGAATATAAGCCTTGAAATTTCATCATTTAAGTGAAGTGAATCTGTGCCGAGAAGCTGAGAAGTACTGTGTTTCTGTTTCATCCTGGTCGCCAAGCAATAGCTGTGTGTATCTCACGAACCTCCAGTGAATTCGAATTCGGAGCATTCCGCTTGTAGCTGAGCCACATAACATCCTTGCAGCTGAGAAGTCAAACTAGGATCAGACTTCATTACCGGTGAAAATCACACGCTCATTCACTCTAAGCCCACCCGATGGTCTAAGAGGAGACTTAGTAGATAGATTTTTGGTAATTTGAAAAGCCCCCCACAGTACAGTCGACTGTTCATTGTGTGGACCTACATTCATCTGCAAACCAAACAGCAACGCAACTTATGAAAATCAGACATACTCTGAGGAATAATATTGCAGAACATTTTCCATTGTCCAGGTTTGACCTAGTACTGTTGCCTGTCAGCTGCACACACACTTTTTTTCTGGCTTTAAAAGTACATAATTTAGGACTCCCAATAAACCACATTATACCAGTTTTTCGCATGTACTAGTGTTTGTGTACCTTAGAATTGCCATTTTTCAAAACATGTAGAACAATTTACTCAGCTGACTTACTTTAATCAGTTGGCTGTTCTCACGAGGATTTGAAATGGGGAACTGATCCATAACTCCCGCCGTTGGATACGGTACTGGTAGATCGGCAACCCACCGAACACCAATTTGCACTGGACTCGTTTGATCCACTAACTTGGTATCCTGATTACACGAGGAGTTATGCAAAAAGATCTGGTAGTTTTTGCATCCATACCATATTTTAAAACAGTGGATGAGATGCAGTTGGGAAAAGTCGCCCATCCATCAAAAAAGCAAAGACCCTACTTTTATCAGCCATCCCCCCAAAACTCCAGCTGGGTAATCACTACGAATGTTCAAAGTCTTGATGGCTTCGTACCACCTGTTGATCTAAACGAGAGATTGTAAATTTAGGTTCCGAGGCGTCGGTCAGTAGTAGGATGACTTATGAATATCATCTTCGAGTATGCTCACGTATATTCACCTGCGCATACTATTAAATACTGTCCAGAAGTAAAACCGTTCAAACTAGTTCAAAGATCTTGAGTTTTGGTACACACTGTGCGTCAGAACAAACAGCTTTTCAGTTGCCTTTAGGGCCATGTTTTTTAATCTTTTTTTACCAATCTGACTGCGTTCACACTAATTTAAACTCCTGAATGGAATGACAAAATGTGATTAGCTTCGACACTTTTCAGTCCCAGACTAGCAAACGCCCAAGAAAATACCGATCCAATTTTGATCTGGTGTTGGCTTTGCTGATTAGGGTTGAGTTAGACCTCAGTGTCTCCGAAACATGGTTCCGGTCTGGTAGGAATGTCAGGTCAGTCATGCTGAGGTACGCTGGATGGTTTTCGGGAAAGTCCACTCTATCCATGCTAATTGGGCCATGTACTTCAAGTGCCAGATGTTGATCCCTAGAACCCTCTTTTCTCAGCCTAGAACAAGATGAAGACGACCCAGGGCCCGTCGGCCCACCACTTTGCAACGAAGCATAATACACTTACCGATCAATTCAGTTGTGTCGGTAGCTACCGTCTTTCCGGATGGAAACCGTGGGGTGAGACAAACCAATTCTTAGTGAAGCTGACAGTCAACAGCGCTCTTGCATCAAAGCTATCGTTTTCACTGCCTAAATCACACTTCCTGTCGAAGTGGACAAATATTTGTCGACAGTGCGTAGATCGGACCATCAAATCTAAAGCGTGGCTTTGGCCCCCTTATCATCATTCTTCTCAGTGAACGGAGCTGTAGTACCCGGAATCGCTGTACTTCGGTGCATATTTTGTGAGCTGAAAACTGAAACCTGATGAACAGGTGGCTTCAACAGAAGAATTGCCAGCACCTGCTCACAGGTTTACGTGGTTTGAAGACTCGTCTATGAACACAAGACTTTCGTAAAAGCTTCATGACTAGACATGCAGAACCGAGTTTTATGGTGTCATTCGCGTTAGTATGCTTTGTGTTCTATGGAGAATGTGATCTCACTCGAATTATGGACACACCAGATAGAACTGTGACTTACTAGGAGATTCAGACTTGAAAATAACCACAGCTAGCACGTACTGGTTACTCCCCCAGAGAAAAATGTGGGTATGTTCAGTTAGTTGTGAGCTTATTGCCCGGCCGACGAGTAATTCTGTCGTCGGAATAGTAAGACTCTAGGCTGGGAGGAACATAAGTTGAGGTCGGATGGGGAGACAGTGATGAAGGTATTCCAAGTTTGAGCAAAGGGCTCAAGCCCGCCTAAGATATACCTGGCAATCTGTGGTAGGGCTTCTTGCTCAATTTTAGTCGGTGAGGCCTACACATCCACCGAACATGAAACTCTACGGAGACAACAGCGAGAATACAGACAGTCTAAACTTGTATAAAAGTGTCTCTCAGGCCTAGTTCCCTGTTCCTTCGACAGCGATCCAAATCAAGATCTTTGGATATATGGAGCACTCAAAGAGCTCTTTAGAGATGCAGGTAGTTCCTGGCTGTTGACACGGTGCAGTAGACTGCTAACTAGGTACGAGGAAGATAGGGGAGATCCTGAATAAGTTAGTTGATAGAGGTCCTGGTCAAAGGAAGTTGCCAGGTCCGTTTCTCATACAATTAGCCTACAATTTCACTGATAATGTATTCCCATGTATTCTCACTAGGAAGCAAGATTTTGATGGCAGCATCCTCTAGCTATATTGAATACAGATTCCTGTGAGGAATAACTGGTGAACAACTTTTTCAATGCATAATAATAGTCTCTGACTGAGGAAAGTATGTGAGAGACGTAAGTCTTGATTGGGGATACTTAAACCAGTAACGCACTTCACGTGACTGTGGACCATCAGTCCCACTAGTAATCTACCGCATCAATGGCTAGAAACTTTAGGGGAAAATCAAATATACGTCACCCTATTCTCGTTTCATTAAAAATACTGAGATACTTCTTCGATTTACATAGCGGTCAACGCCAAATTTCGGACATATTAAATGAGTTGGAAGATTAGGCACTCATAAATACATTGCCTGTATACGATGGGAGAATAGTGTAACTTACTCGGAACACTATCCGAACGGTTTTTGCTGTTCCCTGGTCGAGTTCCACCGGATACTTATAACTTCGATCCTCCATCCGTTCACGGCACGTTGCCTCAAGATCTATCGGCAAATAACCACCAGGACTGTTCACAGCAGCCGATGATGCAGATCTATTCACCGTAAAGAACCGATCTGCCTGGTCTGCATAATCCTTGACACTTCTCTCACCAATGAAGCTAACAGGGACGATGGATAAATCGTGGAAGAGTGTACTGGACGCCAAGCTAACAAAGCCATGGGACCCACACGTCGAATCTTTCGGCTGTGTCGTGATTTCCTCACTTCCTGCGGGTATTTCCTCCCACAATTCACGCAACCAGGGAGTGGGTGGATCGGACTTGAGCAGAACAGTAGCTCTGTAGCGAACATCGGGCTTGCATGGCTTGCTGAAGTAGTTTGAAAAAAATCTGTGTTTAGAATCCACAATCTGGAAATCTGGACGGCTCGCAATGTGTACGTAGAAATCCCGGGACAGTTAAATAAAGTAGCCGAATCGAACGCCGAAGTAGAGGCCACAATAAGGGGAAAATATAAAAGCTCAGTGTAAACTCGCAACGGCTCCGTGCGACTGCCGTTAGCGTATGGGATAACGCTTCTCAAAGAAGAGCTTTTCTTTATATGGGGTTAAAGAGTGCCACAGTTGGAGAAAGCAATGAAGAAAGGGCAAAATATGAGTTCTATCAATTCTCATTTGATGAATACCAATAATTAGGACCGTGACCCTTGAACACAGAGCATTTAATGCCTCCGAACACTACGGCATAATTAATAAATCCCAATGAAATCCCAACTTAATAGCAATATGTGGGAGAAGAACAACACAACGAGTGGAATTCACAACGACAGAAACCTCTCCCATGGAGGAATAGTGACCTAGTGTGAGTTTCATTGCGCAGTGATGTTCACGTTTCTCTCATTTTATAGTACAAGATTCACAGTTTACCTAGTGGCTGAAGATAAAACTGAGCTGTGACCACTTAAGAGGATAAGCGCCAAGGCTAGACACCCAAATGCTTGAGCAATCCAAATCAACATACGCTTAACCGTCCACGGATGGAGAAATAAAGTGAACTTATGATAGGTAGCTCTCATCTGGAGTATTCTTCATAGTTCCAAGTCAAGTTCATTCCTATACTCATTCTGTACGCCAGTCTCCACAAAAGCATTGTTTAAAAACCCTATAGCTTATACATATGATTATTTTTCTGTCTACAAGTGACCACTTCGATCCATGACAGCCATATTTCACTCATAATGAAACATGGAGGTTCAGAGTTTTCATTGCCCTACTTAAAACCCGTAGTATAGTATATTTAAATCATCACTGGTCTCTGTAACATGCCTTAGGCATGAGAAGTGTGTGGTGCTTTTTCACAATAGGCTGACCAATTAGTGAGTCCGTTTTTAACCATGCCAACGATGAGTCAAGAACTCGCACTCAAATATGTAGGAGGGTATTTGCATCATATTTGCCAAGCGACGTAGGCGTACGCTGCCTTATTCTCGTCAGTCACATCACAGACATGAAAAGAACCGAACGTCACGGTGATAGGTGAGGGGCTGATGGTAGTAAATCGTTCCTTACACTCAGTGGCTAAAATTTGGTACAGTTTCGGATAAAGAATTCTGAAGGCCAATAAAGATTCAAGGCTTTCGTTCGCGCCACACTGTTCCTGGGCCCAGTTGCTTTACCCTTCCAGCGACACTGGAATGCTGATTTACTGATTGATTGAGTAACCAAAATTTTGGCTTATGAAGTGCAAACCAATGTGAGCAGCTTGAGCTCTTAATGTTATTGATATAAGACATGGTGAACCCAGTGAATGAGAAAAGGTTCACTGTGTAGGCAAATGTGTTCAAGAAAGTGAATGCAAAAAATAAGGGGTTACGGATTAGACAAAATAACAGGTGCGTATTCTTAAAAGACCGATGTGTGATGACTTTGTCGGTCCACAGAGTGAAACAGTCATTTATATGGGGACCAGTTATATGCTTAAATGTTCTTTTTCCACCTATTTTTTATTGGAATTATTTTGAGAGTTGTCCACTTGTTCTGGATTAGATAATCTGAAGTGGTATTGAAGGAGATCTGAGGTATTAAGAGGCTGAGCACAACAATCCAGAGCAATTTACACACGTCACTGAAGATAACTGTGTCGGTTAGCGCTTTAACTGGTCGTGAAAACCAGATCATGCTGCGACCCGGTCAAGGCTAGTGCAGCTAAGCTGTATCTCCGTAACACATATAGGATTACATATGTCGACTGAATAGGGATCGGAACAACCTGATTACACAGTATGACGGTTAGTACACCGCGACATCATTCTTTAATCATAGGTGTCCACCAGTGGAGAAAGGTGACATCTGGCTGCAAAAGCGGTAAACAAACTCAAGGAATTTGATCTCCAAATTTAACATCTGGAGATAAAAAGCTGGTCGGTGTTGCGGGGCAAAGTTGATTGACAAGACTTGAAGTAGTTGACCTTCAAGCTGTCTTGATCAGACAACATTCGTTGAGAATACATTTAATTTAATTTTTTAGCTCTGTGCACACACTCTTGGTGCCTGAACCCCATTTTCGGTGTAAATCACCTAACAGGTGGAAAAAAATAGCTGAACACTTGAGGCAGCCTAGTGCAACAAAACGGAGACTAGGGTAAATTGAGCACAGGAACCAAGAAGCCAAGCTTGAAATAATGTTTATACCTACAACAAGGTCAATGGCCTCTCAACAAAGTGGGTTGCTTGTTAATGTAAATTTGTTTAAGGTTGATAATGTATACATTCATTTTCACATTAGTTTATCTGCTTCTAGACGAGCAGTTAGAGAGTCATTTGGACGCCTCATAGTGAAACAATCGGTAGTGGTGAGCCCGCTGTACTGTTCAGCATAAGTGATTTACTGTTGAGTAGTAAAACACTCATAATCAAGTTGTGTGCACATCTCATGAGCGATAGTGTTCATTCAAAATTCAAAAGCAATCGTTAAATTCTGTTATAGGTTCTCCGGTTGTCCGACTTCTCTTGTCGTTGCTAATCAAAGCATCTTTTGTGTTTTCACAAGGGCAAATCTACTTACATTGCTTACTTATATTACTTATGCACCAAACAGTCAATACACGTGTAGTCCGGGTCAACTATTCTGTTGTCAAGTAACGATTATTTGTTTACTCATTTCGAAACATTGCTTGGAAAGCTACTAGTATCCTAATGTGGCATAGTCGAAAACAGTGATGTTACTTTTGTGCACCCCTGAGAAACCTCTAGGCTTAGGTTTGAAGTGTCCAGATCAGACGAAAAGTTCATAGATCCACAAAGTAAAACTACGAGAGATTTCATGGAAAAAAACGGGATGTGGTGAGTGCCTAAATGGGTGCAAAAGAGTTTCATCGATTTTGTAGCATATCTCACTGGTAATCTTGTCCTTAGTCTCCAGTAATTTTAAGTTAGCTCCCGAAATTAGAGCGAATAACATTGCGAAATTTCAGTTGACTTAGTGCAAACAAGTAAATTACGAAACTAGATAATGACAACGGTATACCAAATGTATTACTTACTCCACGTCAACCAGTTTTTAGCGATTTACCACAGTCAATTCTAACTAAGAGATTCAAACCGAAAAACTTTGCGAACACAAAACCGTCCTACGCAATTAACCTCAGACGACCCAAATGAATAAAGTGACCTTACACTAGTTGGTTCAGGCAAAATGTTGCGTATAACACCCAATGATCTATGCACCAGGAAAGGTAGTCTGGTTCAATGGGTAAAGACCCCGAATAGGAGCTGGAAACTTCAAGGTGACTGCAGGATCAGATGTTAGGAAAATCACAGCACTTGGAAATGGCACCGTATAACAGTTCATTGTTCGCCGTAGAGAGCTTAGATTCCTAGTGAAGCTAAAACCATGTTGTAATTTGAGATTTGATAAGCCAATGATTCACTCATGGAATGCAATTACTAGTTGACAGTCAAAACGCTTAATGTAAACGATGAGTGACCCTTATGGAGGGTCCGCCTTCGCCCACCTGCCACATCTTCGTCAAAGTAGGGAAGCCCATTCAAAGCAATAGTTTCGCTATCTGTAAAGTTACAGGTCACTTACCCGTCAACGCTAGTATAGGTCATGAAAATTTTCGTATTCAGACACCGAACTTTTGGTGCCATATACCCCGGTAGATTTGAAGCTTCTGCGGTGCAGTCGGGTAGTGAGTCAAGATTGCTGGGTATGCGTGTGGAGCCGTCAGGAAGGACAAGATGTACTTTGAACCTGAAAACAATGAAAATGTACAACCCATGAGAAAAAATGATCAGAGACAATTAAGAACGGCTGATTAACCTGGAACTTAGTTAATTTGAGCCTGCGTACTAACCAAACTGCCGATTTTGTTGACCAAATCTAGAGGCATCGTGGTATCGCTTAATCAAAGCTTTCAGGAGGCTTAACTATGTAATTGCAAAATCCCCGTCAACAATTTGTAACTGCTAACAGTTTACTGAATGTGGCGATTTGCCCTTCAGTATGTGCATGAATGTGGGTTTACAAAAAGTCGCCTATATACTATCCTTGGCTGATCACTCATAGGAATCTACTTCCTAGTTTTGTCAATTTATTTTGATCGAGCTGCAGTATTTGACGTCCTCCCGTTACATGAATGGTTGTTCGTATAGAATCAGCTTATAACTGGTGGTTTGGATATTTACCTGAGATAGCTGGTGAACGCAACCAAAAGTGTGAACGACCGACCGGCACATTTGATGATCACAATCGCTGTCTCTTTATTCGACCAAACGCAAAACCAATATTGGTTTCATCTATCTGCTCAGCATAAGTTAGGACTGAACCAATTAAAGTTGATTTATCAATCAGCCAATGCACCAACGGATTCTCATTCATCGTAAGGTAAGAATTACTTTGTTTGCAATTTAGGATTACATCAACGGGAAACTCAGAAGAATCTCTCGTTCAAATAGTTTTTTAAAGAAATGTAGGCCATATGGAGGAAAATAATTAGACATCTTGAGATGTGAAAGGGTATTTATCCGGCCTTTTTAGCCGAAAAACATCATCAACAAACGTAGGTCCACCATTAATCTGCATTTTTATCTGAAAATGTCAGTCCACTTTCAAGTACATTCAACTCGCTGCTAGATCATGAAATATGATTGACGAAATTTCAACAACCAAGCCTATCTGATGAGCTCAAGAAAAAGTTGGTAGTGGGCAGTGCGGTGGCTGTTCAGCTCATGGTCTATAGTGGTTTATGGAAGCACAGATAAGTGTGGCACTGCATTCTGACCTGCACCCTTTCATGAACTACATTTTGCTTACTTTATTATTGGTCTGGTTCGCAAAACGACCACCGCGTCGGACAGCGGAGCACCGAGGGCCAAATCGGCATATCCATTACCGTCCAGATCTAGTCCTTTGAGACCAACAGCAAAACCCAGCCCTCTTAGCGGCACATTCGTGGCCAGTTTGGGTGTACATATAACCTGGAATGACAGGACACGCAAAAAGCTGAGGAATACACGATGGACACAGGTGAGACCATGGGATATTATGTGGGACAAAACGGTGCGAAAATACCTCAGAACAAAGACGGGCCCAACAGTCATGAGGTTATCGCTTCAAAAGGAAGGGTTAACAAATGTTTGGAAAGCATAAGGAGCTCAATTTGGAAGACATAAAATAACAAAAGACTACCAGGTAGCTCGCAACCACCTGAGGACTCCTAATAATGGATATAAGCAATGCATAGCCATAACAAAAACCCTGGATGAGAAAGACTGCACCGGAGGTACGCAAGGAATTGTGTTTAAATTTTCCACAAAAAGAATCGGTTCATTAAAGAAATGTTGGAATGGGAGATTGTGGATTTCGAGGCAGAAGTTGCAGAGGTATGTTTGAAAATGTCAATAAATTGACAAGTTCACGTGCTGGTGTTTCAATTAACATTTGGCGAGCGCTGAAGGAAGATCTTTGGCTGGTGTTATAGCAGCATCGCTTCTGAGCAATCTCACATAGCTCTTCAGGGTGAAAAATCTATTGGTATACAGTATCTGTAAACCTTCTGAATTCTCTGTAAGCTCTAAACGATGTTAATGCATGTTTGGTTATCTTCAGAATACTGTGAGGAATTGAACTGGGCAGTGAGTTCCTGCTTTTCCTTCCAAGGCCGATGACCTAGCTCACTGTTTATCACCGATTTATAGAGCCGTTGAAAAACCCATCGAGTTCGGGTTAGAGAGGAACATAAATTGGCCAGGTTTCAGCCACTTTGGGCTGTTCCAGATTTTAATGGTGACATTAGCAGGAAGGTTCCCCAAGTGACAGGAGCACTACACTTGTACCACTTATTTTTGCTTGACCGGCATACAGTGATAGGTAGGAATGGAACTACTGTCCACAATACGGCTGACATCCAGGATACAGCAGATTTCAAATTTACTGTAGAAAACTTCATATGCGTCGACAATCCTTTGAAATGTAAGACACCATATATCCGAAATGCAGGAGTGCACTCAGCTTCAATTAGTAGCCCGAATTCTAAACAAAGGAAACAGTAGGAATCACACGCTTATGCATAGAAGGTGGCGCTTGTCAAAACCCATCAGTGTGGCAGCTCCCGAAAAAATGACTGTGTTGATAAGCCGAATTTTTCACTTCACCTCCAATTAAGTTGTCGTCTGCCACAGAATCTAACGTTCTGTCACTGTAAATCGGCCAGTGCGAGTTGAAAATACTCGTTATGTCAATGGCGAATCTAATTGTTTTTTTCGTTCACTTCCTCCCGAAATCCCAACATATGATTATCACTTGGTCCAACATAATTACTGCGGCGACCTGCAAAATTTCTTTGAATAAGAAATCATGCGTTTCACCTCAAACTATCGACTGATTCAAGAACCATTGCAGTCCGTTCCTTATAAAATGATATTAACGAAAAGCCCATTAAGTGTTATCAAGTACCTAGTATTGAGACGCCGGTGATGACAGAAAGGACTATAAAGCTGGACTTAGTGTAAACTGGATATCAATGGACGAATACAGTCATACTGTGAGCTCAGCGCGTAATGAGAGCGAGTAGGGTTTTATCTGGATCTGGTTATCTGGATCCTGGCCTTTATCCGGGTCATGTATTTGGTTGGATTGCTATCAGATGGTCTCAACGAATTGTTAACTCCTCACTTCTGTGGAATGAAGTAACGCGAATCCCTTGAGTCCAGTCCATCCAGTTCTTCTTCCTGAATTGACTTTTTCACAAAATAATACTGTTCTTGGTTCCAGAGCCAACACGGTGAAGAGCTGTTTCTACTTAGGTGACAGATCCGACAATTTGCATTTGTGTGTTTGACTTAAATTAACTAGATTGGGCTGTGTGTAAATTTACTTGGCAATCCATCGCCTTGTAGGTGAGTACGTACGCTCACTCACATCATGCCAGTTGGTCTTAGTGCGATGTGGACTTTGGGCGAGCAACCGGTGAGTCAATAACAACCACTTGGCACAGTCAAAAACAAAACGACGCACATTGAATTACACAGTGAGCTATGGCGTGTGTAACAGAGCGAACTGCGGCCTTGAAAACACCGCTATGTTTGTGCATGCGCACCTAAAATCAGTGACTTTGCGCAGATGCACACAATCGACACCGGTGTCCGCCAACTGCGCTGTTTTGTAGTGTGCGCGTATGCGGACAAACTCGCCTGTATGTCGGACTCGATACACCGAGTATTGAAATACGAGTCCTGAGCATTGGAATTCGACAAGTAGCAACTGGTGAGTGTGCACATTTAATGCCTCCAGCGGAGTGAAGAAAAAAGCAACATCATCGTGGCGTAGGATGATAGATCCTAACACCGTTGAAGTCGAAGAAGAACCGAGCGCGGATATCCATGATTCTAACCATGATTATCTATTGATTAAACATATCTGATCAAAATACAATACACTTAGCTGGAAAAGTAAGCTAGCTGCAGTTACCAAACTTGCGAGAGTTGGGTCATGATTCGAACGAGGCAGGTTATGGTAGTTTATCCGGAGGGAATATATTTCAGTGGGGTTTGTTGGAAAAAAGGAGACAGTTCCTTGAAATCCACTCGTTTTAGTGCATAAATAACTCATCCAACCCTATTACAGTGGTTCTGTGGAGAGATCTGGAGAGATCTTATCCAACGAAAAGGAGGCATTTTCTTGTTGCTGGTGTTTGTGCTCATTCTTATTTGGTGATAGGACATGTCAGACCATGTACATTGTGGTCACGTTATGTCACAGTGCTCAAATTTCGCGGGACTGATGGTGATAGGCATTGCACAGAACAAACCACAACTTGAGTCCATCGGGGAATGCAAATTTACGTATGTTCTGTGCCTGCTTTTCTTCTACAAGATGTACGATTTACAAAAGTATGAAATGAACCAATACCCGAAAAAGTATTTGAAAATCAACAAACATTTCGGAACATGATGGTCGGGCAGTGATTGCTTTGCCCATTTCCGTCGGATTTATGTACCTTCACAACGTCCAAGTTGACGTTGTCGACTATGAACACTATCAGTGTGGATCTAAAAGTAACTCACACACGGTATTCCATTTAAAAGTGCTTGCTGCATTCTTTAGATATCGTATTTCAAACCAGCTTCTGGGGTTGTGTGAGAGAGCAGAGTACATCAAAACCGATAACTTCATAACATCCTTCTCGTAAGTAGCACTTAACAGTGACCTTTCACTAGTGTTGACGAGTGCTATTCCAGCCAAAGCGCTGTACATACTTCCAAGCGTGTATCTCTGCTCACGCTGTGTGTACATTCACACCTCAGCTCAAGCACGTTGAGATCTCCTTGATCAGCCAGTTTGAAGTGAGTAACTAATGAACTTTCAATCTCTAACTTATCATTCGACTCATAAAA